TATTTTACCCTGTGCAATCATTAAAGTTATAGTTCCATAATCAGTACTTTAGCTATCTACCCAGATTAGCCTCCAGCTTTCACCTATCGAGTGCAGAAGTTATTTTCGAATCCTGGTTGTTTTTTTTTTTAATTTCAGTATTGAATTTGGCGGTTATGAACAAATTGCGGAAGGATGGAAAAATGAGAGATAAACAGAGTACGTTGCAGTAGTTTGGTTTGAATTAAATAGCAACGACGAAGCGATTCCCTGTACCTTACTCCCGTTCATTTTCACGACAAGTGTCCATCCACCACCTGCACATGCCTCAAGATCATCAGTCATGTGACAATAAACAGGAATTTTTACTGACTCAATTGTCAGTTCATAGGCTCTGTTGCCATCAAACCTAGATGAAAGAAACAGTTAACAATGCTATGAATAAACATAGGATTGTGACTTTGTGTTATTTATCATGTTTTAGAGCTATTATCCACTTAGGCCAATTGAACTGCAGGTATTGGTACCTGGGACTTAGACCAACCCTCCCCCCGCAAGGTAAGGTTTTTGGTCATGTAAAAGGACATCGGGATAGTGCGGAGTGTATTGCGCAAAATTCTAATTTCTTTGCGCATTATAATTTGATGACGTAACAGATATAATTGTTAAGATTTTCTATCGCTAGACAGTGTTATGGACACCTAGAACCAATGGGTAAATATTTACCTTGATTTCTTTTGATATTATCGATATGAACTGAAACTAATATGTTAACGCATTACTTTACAGATTTCGAATCTCCGATCCATATCCATGGATTTTGTCATAACCTTCATCCGTTATTTATTGTAATAAAATATCGAGGTTTGGAACCTTTGGTATATTAATGTCCTAACACACCGTCACACGGAGCTCGTGGGGAAAGTTAACAAAGTTTTTGTATTCAAAGAAGAAATCATGGCATAAATTGCCTGGAAACAGGGTGCCTATTTAACCAAGCTAGCGTTAGGCTCACGACTGAAATAATCCCGGCGATCATATGGAGGCTAAGCTTAAGCTCAAATCCAGTTCTGCTACCGTTCCTATAGTCCAGGTCGCTCGTAATTTTATAGCCTTGTTTCTTTCCATACATTCGTCCCTTCCTCCTCAGCCTTATCGGGGATCATCAAGGCGATATTGACCATCATACCCAACCAGACTTAAACTCTGTAAAATTATGAAAGTGATGTACTCGTACTTGCCTTTTTTTATCATACAATGCCTTGCAGGTTGTTGCAGGTTTTTCGATTTTTTCACAGTTTCCTTTTTGATCGCCATTCTGACACACGCATAAGTATTTCTTCTCAGAAAACCCGCTTAAACAAGTACCATTATTTAAACAAGGACTTTCTAAGCAATGGTTCTGTTGAGGAAAGATCAGATAAAAAAAAGGAAGAAAAAAGCTAAAGACGGTCGTTATTTATCTTAGGAATATTTTTTGGTGTTTGGGATGAGTTATTCAGGACTTTCCTTTCAACTGATGTTGGCTCCTGAGTTAATAAATTATTTGTTGATTTAACCTCCTAAGTGGTTTGAATGGGGGATGGGCTGAAAGGGGAGGGGAAAAGGAGGGGGAAAGGTTATGTTAGCTCACCGTGGAAAGATGTATGAGGCTTTCTCTTTCTTCTTGTTCATCTATTTATTGCTTAAGGGTTTGATTGAGAAGAGTGAAAGACATGCAGGGCATCTTGAGCAGGCAAAAATGTGACGATAGTCTTTTCACTCTATCATCATTTGTATACTTCTCGTGCGTTAAGTTTGATTTGATTAAAGGTGGACCATTTACAGACATGCATCATTTAGTTTGAAACCAACTTGAAAACTATCGAAGATGTGATTTGGGAGTAATAATATATTTGATGGTTATCATACGAGATAAATTTAGTTACCTCAGTACCAGTGTAGGTAAAACCTTCTCTTGGTACGGGTAACTCGTGTGATCAGAATCACTCAGTTCACATAATACTCGACCTGTGATATGAGGTCCAACATTGATTGACAGGCATTGACTCTCCATAACGCACTGAACTCTACAAGAGTCCTGTACATTAGCTGGTAGTGTTAGATTCTTAATAACATGACTTTGAAGCGCAGACCCTTTTATTTCAGTAGTAAATTTAACGTATCGCCTACACGTATCTGTGAACGAAAAACATAAGTCGTGACAATGATTTAGCCTGGACTGAGACCTGAGATCTCGTTATTGGCCGGAACAAGTTGTGCAACAATCTTTCATGCGCATGTTTTCACACGGGATATCTAACCTAATCATCGTTACCAACATTATTACCATCGTCACTTAGAACATGAAATTTAAAAGAGCATATTAAGATTCTTTCGATAACGGTGAACCAGGCCCTTTAAAATTCAAATTTTTTTCCCAATTACTTCTGAACATAGTTGCGTTTAAATGTTTTCCTCCCCAGCGACCAGAGAAGATAAGCAGCAATTTTGGTCCCCTTCGGTCTCACTAAGGCGACAAATACTTTGTTTATTACCTCCAAGTTTTATTCACTTTTGATGTAGATTACATCGCTGACAATTAGGAGTAACTTGATCTTCAAACCATTCACATTTAGCATCGCATAATTTTGCAAACATCGACCACTGCGAAAGAAACTGCGCGTAAATATTCTTTGCAATGAATGTTCGGCCCACAAGTGTGTATTTTCGCTGTCACAACACGATGAACAACTGATACATGTATGAGAATATCAGGTGACAGTTGAACTCAAATCCTTTTCAAGACTGTCTTGACGAGATCAAAAGAATAAGGGTACTTACCTTTTAGCAAAAATGTTACAGTTTTATATCACAATTCACGTTAGTAGTCGCGTTTTTCCAAGCCGAAAGTAACAGTCAAACCAAGAAAAAATTACTTTTGATACTTCCTAGCTTTCAGAATCGTTTTCGATATAGCTTGGAAATTAAAAGATTTTTGAAGATCTTGACTTATGTCACGATACTCTACATTATTACAATAAATGCAAAAGGTTTAGTTGGAACTGTAAGTTAAATTTCATAATGATTTCAATTTAGGTTTGCCATTTGCAGCCAAAAATTTATCAACTAGAATTTTTCGGTTAAGTCGTTTTATCACCCATTTTCCAGTCTCCAAATTCAGTAACTAACACTTTCAGTATGATTTACATGTTAAATTACAGCCTGGATTGCTTGCAGTAACCAAACCATTAATTTTAAAATAAGGTGAAGAAGAAATCGATCTCACCATGGCTGGTAAGGGAGAGGCAAAACATCCGACAAATCCAAGCGATGAGCGCCAACAATGTTTTCGAAGCAAGCATTATTTCAGGTCAGAACTCAAATAAATGCTTTTCACAAAATTGACTCAGTCAATGATTTTCCCTCGTCAAGCAAAACAAAAGTAATTATTTAAGAAATTCCTTTCTGAGGCTTGTTCGACCGACTATTCGTTAATAAATTATTTAAAGGTCTCAAGAAGAATACACCAAATATCACCACTTGACGCCAAATAATGAAAGCTACAATTTGCAGTCAACTCCCGCCGGTGGACACGTGCACATTGATGTGGCGAACACCTCGTAGTTTGGACATCTGCTAACTCTTGCTCCTTCAATTAAAGAATCTAAGTAAAACGCACCCCCGCACCTACGAATAACGTTCAACTCTTTGGGTCCCCAAACATCAGCGAAATCCCAATGTCCGAGTGGACATAGGGAATATCAAAAATGTGACACATGGTCGAAAAATTGAACATTCATAATTTGCCCAGAGATACAGTGATCTCAGAAACGCGAAATTTTCGTGACCGAAAAACCGCAAGAAAGGAAAGAGATAATGTTTTTTTTGTGATTGAAGTAATTTAATCCCGAGATACACAGCATGGGTAAAAAGGTTAATTGAGAATTTGTTACGAACTGCGATATTAGTAATTAGAAATATTGGTGATTTTAAATAGAGTTCCGTGAGCTCCAGATTGAATGAAATGGTTCCGTTTTAGACATAAAACATACTCAATCCCTCCGAAATTACAGAAGTAGTTATTTAAGAAATTCCTCTCTGAGGCTTGTTCGACCGGCTATTCGTTAATAAATTATTTAAAGGTCTCAAGAAGAACACACCAAATATCACCACTTGACGCCAAATGATGAACTGAAAGCAACAATTTCCAGTCAACTCCCACCGGTGGACACATTGATGTGGCGAACACCTCGTAGTTTGGACATCTGCTAACTCTTGCTCCTTCAATTAAAGAATCTAAGTAAAACGCACCCCCGCGCCTACGAATAACGTTCAACTCTTTGGGTCCCAAATTACTTCAAATACAAAAGGGTAAAGCAGATAAACATCAGCGAATGTCCAAGTGGACATAGTGAATATCAAAAAACGTGACACATAGTCGAAAAATTGAACATTCATAATTTGCCCAGAGATACAGTGATCTCAGAAACGCGAAATTTTCGTGACCGAAAAACCGCAAGAACGGAAAGAGATAATTTTTTTTTTTGTGATTGAAGTAATTTTCATCCCGAGATACACCGCATGGGAAAAATGTTAATTGAGAATTTGTTATGAACTGCGATATTAGTAATTGGAAATATTGGTGATTTTAAATAGTGTTCCGTGAGCTCCAAATTGAATGAAATGGTTCCGCTTTAGACTTAAAACATATTCAATCCCTCCGATACAAATCAATCAAATTTAAACGAGCTTACTCTCTTCTGCGCTTTTCACGAGAAAAGTTCACTTGCACCTACTCGGAGCACTGAATTCCGCCACTTTACGGCTACCGACGCTCGTTTCTGTTTTCGCGAATTTTCTGGAATAAGGAAGCAATTTTGGGAAAAAACAAAACAAAACAAACAAAACAAAGACAAAAAAACCTCACCACCTTTCTAAGTTTACTATTAGGTAGCTCTGACCGACACATGAGGATAGTCATTTTTCGGTCGATAAGCCACCACTCACTCGGTCTTAAAAGAAGTCGCTCTCAAACACTATTTCGTGGTGAACATTTATTTGTTGATGGAACGCACAAAACTGTCTCAAAACAGAAAGATATTAAATAGAGAACATACAAAAAAATATACCAAAACCTCAGTCTAAAACAAGAATTTAAAAAAAAAACCCCCTAAACAAACAAAGCTCCGACCAAACGGCGAACAAATTTTCACGAGTTTGCTGGGAAGAGAAATTACTCAAAGAAATGCTACGTGACGTGTTAACCTTGAGAAAAAAAGCTAGAAAGAGATTACTCGATATCATTTCCAAGGGCATCGGACCGTTTTCTCCAAGTCGTTCACGTACACAAGTCGTAAACTTTATCTGAACTATTTACAGGCAAATCCATGGTCCACACACGTATTTTTCACTCATTTCAAATATTGTTGCATAATCATTTAATACGATCCCTCAAGTTAGCTCCGCTCGAAGAGTCAATTTACAGGATAGAGCTGTTGCTCTAATCAGCAAAACAAAAAAAAGAATTAAAATTTACTCCTGGCTTGTAAAGGTTGCTAAAAGACCCACACATTTCTAAGCTCAGATATGTTTTTTCCTTTTTGTTTTCTGGACTTGATCGTGTACAACGTTAAATAGCATTCCTATCATTTTCAAATGAATGACCATTAGAAACTTTCCCGATTGAGATTTCGCTCCGGTCTTTTTTTAAAACAATCTCCTTTACTTCCTTTACGTCCGAGATTGAGTCTTCCTTAGCTTTTACTAGGAGAGTGAACACGTTGTCTTTTGTCATTAAATTCATCTTCATTCTTTCACTGTGAGTGCATAGTACATCGCGAAAAACAATTCTTGGGTAAATCGCACAATTTTCCTCCAAAATTGATGTAACAGTTCTTTGAAATCTAGGCTAGGTGAAAGATTTAATTTGTCCTTGCTACTAACGCTTCCTCTTCTTCTTCTTTTCGGTAGACTTGGCAAGTTTCCCTTCACTTTTTCGTTTCTCAGACTTCTTTGATTCTGAAGAAAAACAAAATGCGCCACAATCGTCAAGGGCACGTAGGTGCAAGAAGTATATTGCAGTATATTTAGAGTGAACAGATGCTGGAAATAAACATTTGTTCTTTAGCAGCTCTACGTGTACTTGATCGTTCCTCTCTTAATTTTTTCAACAGCTAGATCAAAGAAGAACTCTCCATCCACCATAAACAAAATCCACTGAAACAACGACAACAGTAATGACAATTGTGATGACGACGATGAAGATAATGACGACAAGAAAGTCCAAAACATAATTACAAACAAATAAAACACGATCGTCCTCACCTTCTTCACGTGGGGTTTCTACTTCCTTCTGTGATGTCTCCGAAGTCGCGCCTTTATCTTGGAAAAAATTTCAAATTACATGTAAATACAAATACGCCCTGTTCTACACTGGAGAAAAATGACCATTATTTTGTCTCAATTACAATCGGCTCTCTTCACCTCATTTCAAGCCAAAGATTCCTTTGCAATTCAGAGGATGTGAGCTAGGCAAAGAGGGCTACTTATCGTAGACATAAAGAACACAAACGTTGTCACCATTTTGAAGTACACGTAAGGTCCGTCTATGGGTCAAGTCTTATAACAGCCTAGTTGCACCCCACTGCTGGACCTTATACCCAGTTTGAAGCAGGCTGAATCAACTACAGGTAGGAATATTGCCTTCCCCCAGGACATGATGTGATTAATCTCTTGGTTAATCAAGTTTTCTTGATGTTCCTGGGTGGAACTACAGAGGCCACGGGAGAGTGAAATCTGATAGTTCCTGTATTTTAACAAACAAGATGACCCACTCAGGGTTCCAACCCAGACCTTTTGATTTGGAGATCTCCCACTTGCAAGTAGGAGTAAATAATGACTAGTACCAAACAACAAAACATACATGTAAACCAAAAAACAAAATGAAAATAACAAAAAAATGGATCCAAGAAAACATTAAAAGTAAGCTCTAACTTACTCAAAACTGAAAAAAAAAATTCCAAAAGGAAGAACATTTTTTGTTTGTTTGTTTATTACTTGTTTAGTTGTTTTCTATGTCTCTGTTGTTTAATACACAGCAGATCTATTATCCCTTTCTCTAATTGGCTCTTTTCCACACCAATGTACTTCTTAGCCCTTTAACCCCTAAGAGTGACTGGCATCTACTTTCTCCCTGCAATATCAGCCCTGAATAAAACATTAAGGTCATGAGAATAAGGGTAATGATCAACAACTAAAGAACCTCTTGATTGTTGAACAAATTCTCCTTTTAAGAACCTTAAGAAAAGTATAGAGAAAGTATGGAGAGTATGCATACTGATGTTAGTGTGTAAAGGGTTGAAATGTAAAAACAATGCACATAAAAAGATAAAATACAACATTAACAAAGGAAATAATCAAAAGGCAAAAACAAATTCTGGTGTCTTAAGAACCAATCAAAGAATGTGAAAGAGAGTAAAGTTGCTTACCAGTATCTGGTTGCCATAAAGCACTCTTGACAAATCTCTTTGCAGCACCTTTGTCTATTCTTAAAGAAGCTAATAAAAGAAATACAATCATGTAAATAAATATACATCAATACATAATTAAAAGATACATTTGCCTTCAACTTGTGGTTTACAATATATTAAGGAAAGTAAAAATAGAAATTCATAACAAAATCCAATAAAGTTATTGGAGTGTTCAATTATGAAAACTCTCTTACCATCATTAATGCAAGATGACCACTTAATACAGGTTCCGCAAAATAGGGTTAACATAGAAAACCATAAATTGACCATAGATTGATCACTTTATGTAAAAAAACTTGTTAAAAAATACTATGACTACAACTTCTAAATTTAATTTCAGGAAAGAAACATTGATTAAATTTTACTTGAATGATTGTTTTTAGTTTTATTTGAAGGGTTATTATTCAATACAGATGGAAGACAATACAAACAGGCCATTAAGACTCATTAAAGGAGACAAAACTGCTTGATAGAGGTGACTGCTAAACAGACTTGAAAGATTGTTCCTAGTTCTTTTTTAGTAATTCCCCTTTCAGTTATCGTTCAATACAGGTAGAGGACAATGCAGACAGGCCATTGGGACTTAGTAAAGGGGACCAACTGCTTGATAGAGGTGACTGCTAAACAGACATGAGATAGACAGTGATAAAAGGGGGAAAATGTTAGGACATTAATAATCAACAGCTAAATACAGGGTGACCATTTAATACCCTGCTGCTTAATACAGGTTTAACTGTGAATAGTACTCCCTCATTTTGCAACCTGTTTACATCCCTGTCTATTGTTTCCTGCCTTCCCTAAATGTATTGTCGATTTTTTTTCTTTCTAACTCTGAAGCTGAAATTCAAATTTTTTGGACTTTCAGGAGGCCAGGGAGGGAGGAGGCTTGTAAAAATGAATAAAAAATTCTGAAATCAAATGAATTTTTCACACTCTATTTCATTCAGTGTCTAAAAGACAAGCACTTTTGCTATGGATTGACAATTAAATCAATGTTTCTATGTTTCTCTATTTATTTTTTATTTTTGCTTTTTGGCAAGGGGCTTCACTTTCATTTTAAGAACTGAAATCTCAGATGTAGTCAAAGATCATGGGAACCTTTCTTTCCTTTTGCCTCAGTCAATTACAGCAAAGAAACAACTAATACAGAAATACGATTATGCTAGCTCTAACTGACTAAATATGCAAGCAAAGTCTGCGCAATGTCTTGAGAGTTAGCTACAACAAGAACAAGTGTATGTAAATGAAAATAAATGCAAATAGTGTTCTACAACATCTAGAGAATGTTAGTATAAACAAAACAACATGCCCGGCTCTTTTCTAAGCAAGTGAGCCATCCTATGGTCCAGAGAGGCTGCTGTACATAGGATGGCTCACTTGCTTAGAAAGGAGCCAGGCATGTTGTTTTGTTTATACTAACATTCTCTAGATGTTGTAGAACACTATTTGCGTTTATTTTCATTTACATACACTTGTTCTTGTTGTAGCTAACTCTCAAAACATTGCGCAGACTTTGCTTGCAGTGAACTGTTGACAGAGTATAAACACATAAAGGTCAGTTAACTGTTATGGGCAAACTAATTCTAAAGTGCTGTCTGTTGATGAAATGGAAAAACAAAAGCCACTAATTTGTACCTTCTTTCTTTTCAGTAGCTTCTTTTACTTTACCCATGTATTTCTTTATTCTATCCTGAAACAAACAAAGGGAAGGTAAATGTATGTACAACATCAAGTGTCACAAGACAGGCTCTCTACTGGAATCCCCTGCATAAGAGAAATAGAGAGGCAGACCAAGGAACACTTGGCGTTGTGACCTCAAGGTTGACATCAGAAAGACTGGCCACTCATATAGCTTATTAGAAAGGATTGCCCAGAACAAAGAACTCTGGCACACAGTTGTTGACAACCTATGCCCCAGGAGAAGTGATGGGCTTAGATAGATAGATAGATAGATAGATAGATACAGACATGTATGCACATTTATGTGAACAGCACTTGGAGAAACAAATATTTTGTGCTACCATTTTCAGGCTTGTTTTACAATGTCACACTGTGCGCAATGTACTGTAAGTAGTTGTTCTTACACCACATGTGTAAATTTACAAGGGGTCCTGAAAGAGTAGATCAGAGCATTGAAACAATAATATGTCTTACATCTACACAGTAAGTGTTTGTTATCAATAACAGTTTACAAACCAGTTCAGATTTTACAGGATGCTGGCGTGGGTTAACTCCTTGAGTTGTCAAATACACTGTTGATGCACATAAAAAAAATCAATTTGGACATCAATGTTTCATTGCAATTAAGTTGTAGTCTTAATTGTCAACTAACTTCTCTTTAAGAAAAATTAGCAACTCTAGAGGTGAGATCTCACACCACTTCCAAAAATATATCAATACAGATTCACTAAGTGTATATTAGACATTATATCCCCATGTAGGTACTGACAATAGGAACGTAATGCACATGCAATCTACAGTAGATATTTATCCTGATAAATCACACACATTTTGTTTTCATACAATCATTTACATGTACATGATACTTACTCCAGAACATAGAGTTTATGGCATATGCAACAACTAAATCCAGTTTTGCACTTTGTAAAGGATTCATCTGGAAGGAAAGGCAAACACATGTACTTTTACTTCACTAAGTATAAATACAGTTGATGTACTTTCAAAGTGGAAAAATGTCTCAGAATCAAGTACAATTTGTGCCTTGTGAACAAATAGTTTAGCTAAACTGGTTTACTCTTCTTCGTATTGGAAGTAATAATTTTCTAACCTTCCTAAATTTCGATCGCTGTTCCGGATTTCGGATTCCGCATTCCGGATTCTATATTTCATCATCAGGCAACCCGGCCCGTAAACACAAGATCGCATCATATCAAAATGATTCATATTAACACTACTCCTTCACAAAAAAATTTCCTTTTTCTGTTTAACATGGCTATGAAGTACGAGTAACAATCATAACTAAGAATAATTCTTCTTTATAAGAAGCACATGGCATTGAAGGCAAATCTTAACTCACGGTCAAATTTCAAATAAACTGAAGATGTCACCGAACCTTTTCCTTAAGGTCATCGACTGAAGTCTCCAGAAGGGACTTAAATGTATCATCAACTTTTCCCAAAGCTTCGTGGAACGTTTCCAGCGACTCGGTGACTTCTTCGGGTAATTCCGGCTCTTCTACGGTTACAGTTTGAGCCGCCATCTTTAAAATTACCTTGACCGCGACCTGACTGGGTAAGAATACTTGATAACGAGGCTACCTACAAATTTCAACACTGACGTTATTTTCAGCGTGCGGAAGTTTAGAGAGCGTACCCCGAAAAAAGGGTTGAATTATGTTTCCCAGAGTGGCGATTTCATTCGAAAAAGAATGGTAAAAGTGCTGTATTTCTGCAGTTTGGTTTACACCAAGACTTAACCGAGTAATTATGGGAATGTATCAAAGCTCTCTTGCAAATCTTGTCCCCTGCATTGTTATGCTCGGACTGGATTCAGCCGGAAAGACCACGATATTCAGCAACTTCATGATAAAGAAGTCTGTGGAAACGATTCCTACCTATGTATTTAACGTAGACACCGTTTGACCTTGTAAAGGGGTCACTATCATATTAAGGGATGTTGGTGAAAAGGAGATCTTAAGACTTCTCTGGCAGCATTATTTAGCGAATATCCAGGGTTTGATATTTGTTGTGGATAAAAGGAAGGAAGAATCAGTGAGGCAAGGAAAGAGCTTTTTAGCATCCTTGAAACTCCTGAGGCATGGGGATTACCCTTGATCATTATAGGTGACAGGCCAGACCTTCCTCATATGCTCGAGTCACAGGAATTGGTGCAGGAGCTGTCTCTATCAGCACAAAGCAAACTCCTGGCACGTCCAAGAGGCATCTGCCATAACTAGCAAGTATATCAAGGAAGCTATGTGCAGACTCAGGGATATGATTGGAGAAACTCAAGAGAATTTAACTGTATCACTTATGGGTAATTAGTTTTCAAATACAGTTATTGAAATCACAGCAAATGTAATTTCTATAATTCTCATGTAAGAGACAATTAGTTTTTTTCCTGCCTATGAGGTGTGCAAGTAAACTCTGATCATTTCCAAACACAATGCACTGAAATATTGGCAAACATCAAAGACTATGACAAAATAACTTTAAATTAAAAGTCTGAAGCATCACAGCATATTTTTCCAACAAGACTTAAATGAGCTGAAAAGGATGGTTGATTGGTTGGAATTCCAAACAGTCTGCTCTCATTTTTTGGAGTTAAATTTTTGTTGAAAAAAAAAAATTAATAAATAAAAATAGCACTAAAATACTAAGATAGTAACCAATTTTAGATTACCTTTCAGTTTAATTATTTTCAGACTTCAGACTCTACAAAAGAGTAAATAGATGGAGAAATAAAAGGCAAATTGCAAAAAAAGACAAGCAAAGTGGAAAAAATGAATCCAAAAAAATAAATAAATAAAGTAAAAAACATAAAAACATCCTTCAACGTGAATCCTTTTCATACAGCTCACTATACACAATTTGAAAAAACCATGCAATATTGAGATGGAATTCATGCCCTTTCCTCATCACAATCTTTTATACTATTATCTTTATTATTAATATTATTATCACTATTAATATTATCATCATTATTATTGCTATTATTACCAGTACTCTTACCTTCATTTTATTTAATTCATTAATTGATACTTATTGCCTTTGATGTGTTTTTAAGTAATTCTTTGAACCAGAATTGATTCAAAACATGTTTATATCTGAAAGCACATCTATTCCATTGTTACTCTCCTAAGACTCTTTGAAAAGCAAATTTGATGCATGGCACCAATGAAAAACAATTAAAGTATGCACAACTCTATTTAGTATCTTTGAATTGAAGGAATTATCTGGACCTAGAATGAAAAGGCACAAGGAAATATTTATAAGTGTAACAATACATAGATTAATTTTCTATCGAGTAAGGCAGCCATAAACAGAGTGAAATACACTGAATGATGAGTTGATTGAAATGTGCTATCGGGATTAATGTGTTTTTTTTCGGACACATCAATCCGATCAATCTATACAGTCGATGAAAGCAAAGATTTTTTTTTTAACCGATTTAAATTCCAAGAGGTATTCGAGGGAATGTGTCATCTTTTTTGTTTTGTTTGCTAGACCATAAACATTTCGTTCAACAACTCTAACATTGTGAAAGATCGCGGCTGACTTGACACGACCGCTATCCATTCATTCCAAATGTCCTAGTTAAATTAATCTAAAGAATAAACAAAAAAAGTTACGATCAAGCACAGCAGTCAGAGGACCCTCCGTTAAATTCTTAAAGATTAAGAAACGCATTAAGAGGGGGTCAAGGGGATGTCCACAGGGCTCCGCATTTGGACCATTGATATGGAACATGTTCCAAAATGATCTGACATACAGTGTAAATTCTAATTCTAATATCAATATGTATGCAGACGACCACCAGTTCCATGCTGCAGGCAGTAATGTTACTGAGGTGCATGATAAGTTAATAGCAAGTGCCGAATTAGCCTCCAGATGGTATAGATCGAATTTCTTAAAAGGGAACTATGACAAGTATCAGACAATGACACTTGGGAATAAAAATAATGATATGGATAGTATTATAATTGATGACAATGAAGTTAAATCTACCAAGTGTTTAAAACTTCTTGGGGTATATATAGACAATAGGCTTCAATTTGATGAACACATTGCTAACATTTGTAAGAGGAGTAGCCAGCGTGTTGGAGTCCTGATGAGGCTCAGGAATATGATACCAACAGACACCAAGCTGAAGTTGTTTAAGGCAGCCATTCTTCCGTATTTAACATACAGCCATCTTGTCTGGCATTTTTGTAGGGCGAGTGATACTAGAAAATTGGAACGTATTCAAGAAAGGGCACTTAGGGCAGTTTACTGTGATAAGGGGAGTAGTTATGATAAATTATTAGACATGGCTAACCTAAGTACACTGCAGAACAGAAGACTACAGGACATAGCCATTCTTATGTAAAGAAAGAACAATTTATCTCCTAATTACATATGTAGCCTTTTTCAAATTCCACAACTTAGGTACACACTGCGTAATAATGATTTTGGTATACCTAGATTTAATACTGTCACTTTTGGAAAACATTCGCTTAGATATATGGGACCCAAAATATGGGCAATTGTACCAAGAAATGTAAGAGAACTGACATCCATATCATCTTTTAAATGTAACATACGTAGAATAGACCTTGTTTCTAAATTGACTGATAGTAAATGTGAAAACTGCCTTTTATGTAAGACTTAGGTTAGATTTTAAATTGTACATATATATTGTTTTATTTTTAAATTTCTCAAATTTTTAGGTAGTATTTAGTGTCCCCAGTTAGTGGTTGTATAACTGCTATTTTAGATTTGACACATAAATAAAGGTTGTATGTATGTAAACGCATTTCGATCGCACTAAGAAAAATATACCATTACAGCTCGTAAGAAACCAAAACGATTTTCAAATCTTCTTCCACTTCACGTCATCCAATGGAGTCCCCAAAAGGAACCTGAATACTTCTTCAACTTTTTCCGTAGCTTTGTGGGTCGATTCCATCGCTTTTGTGACTTTTTCGGATAGTCTAGTTCGCAAATCTCGTTGCTCTTAGCCTTGGACCGCCATATTAACAAATACCTCAACCGCGAGATGACTGGGTAAGAACGTTTGATAACGAGGCTCATAAGGAAGCTGTTGGCGATGGGTCTATTTTTAGCGGCTCATCTGAGCTGTCAAAATAAGCCACGTTGGCACTGACTGGGTATTCAGAAATTATGTTTCCAGTTACAGCACTCTATGAACATAAAAGCGCCGTATTTTAGTAGTGTTGTTCAGTATCGCCAAACAAAACCTGGTAAAAGACGAAACCACAACGCAGTCATGGGAATCACACTTTCTCAATTTTTCAGTCGAATGAGTGAGCTCTACCGTTCTTTCTCCCATCGTGAGGCGCGCATTCTCATGGTTGGATTGGATGCATCTGGAAAGACCACGATATTATACAAACTCAAGTTGAACGAGACGGTGTCAACGATTCCTACCATTGGATTTAACGTAGAAACTGTTTCACCCTGCAAGGGACTTACCTTCACGGTCTGGGATGTCGGTGGCCAGGAGAAGATCCGACCACTTTGGCGCCACTATTTCCAGAACACCCAAGGGTTAATCTATGTCGTAGATAGCTCTGATCTGGAAAGAATCAACGAAGCCAGGCGAGAGCTCTTCGCAGTTCTCGACAGTCCAGAGATGGAGGGAGTACCTGTGGTCGTCATTGGTAACAAACAGGATCTTCCACGAGCGCTTAGGTCGCACGAGTTGGCTCAGCAGTTGGCTCTGTTGCAGCATAAGGCAAACCCATGGCATGTGCAAGAAGCCTGCGCTAAAAATGGTGAGGGCATTTACGAGGCTATGCACAAATTGAGTGATATGGTCAAGGAATTTGAGAAGAACTCAAGAAAATACTAGTTGCATTGTTAGGTCATGGGTGATAGACAACGTGAAGAGCCCAATAAGATTTTGTTAACTGTCACGCCTTTCTTAACTAGAGGAACATTTTACATTTTAGCACTGCAAAATTTTTGCTTTTTACACCATGATGTATCGATATTTATTTATTTGACACTAGGAAAAGAAAGAAAAAAAAATGAATGAGTGATAAAATCAAAGCAACAGACTATAAACGGATAGATCGATTTATAGGTTAGGTTAACATTGATGATATTCTTGAGCTTTTGATATATCATTTTAATTAAACTACATTTTTATGTTTTTTATATGCTAATTTCTAGAAAAGGAATTTATTCATACTACACGTCACTTCTGCTGATGTTCTACCATTTTGAGACTTTTGATTTTCTACCCCTAAAAGATTGTTTTCTTGAACTCTGTCTAATAAATACATTGTATTATCAATATATCGTTTTATATTATACTTCTTAGACACTGAAATGTGGTGGCACAATTCTTAATTTCTCCTCATTTAAGTCGATGTTCAAAACTCACTTGAGACGCCTCCAAATTTGTAAGCAGAATCAACTCAAACTCAGTTTGGGCTGACTAGAAATCGACGAACAACCTTTGAGTCTCTGAGGATGCACTACTCTCCACCTCGTGTAGAAATAGAACCGAGTGTATGAAAAAAAAAATACGCCCTGTATAAAGGTTTTATGCCCTATTAAACCGAAGCATTTTCCTCTATTCCTTGAGATGAGTTAGTGACACAGTAGACTTTGACACTCTTTGACTGTGATTTAGCGAAAATTGATCTTTGCTGCAAACGAAAAAAGTCTAAAGGCGTATCTGGAGTCGGTATGCTGCCGAAGCTTCTCTGTAGTATGACGACTTAAAAAAAAGAATTAAAAATAATAATAGTAGTAATAGCAATAATATAATAAGAAAAAAAAGAAAGTAAAACTGAAAATGATAGTAAAATCAAGAATTAGAACGTGTTAACTCTCCCTACCTTTAGTCCGTAGCCGCCTTGTTACTCCCGGCCGTTTTAACTCTATTTTGTCGACTTTCGTTGTGTCGCTACGGCTTTTTTCTTTTATTTCACACGGACAGAAATCATAATTTTCAAAACTAGAAATGAAAATAGAAGGAAACTAATCAAAATATTAATTGCTGAAGTTAATTGGCAACTATATTTGTCGAAAGTGAAGGGAGACTGCCGCTACTATAAATTTTGTTGGAAAATCAGCCTGTTTAACAGCAGTTCCTAAGCTCAGTTATGCCATGTTACATTTCCTCTGCTCTTTATTTGATGTAGAATTCTACCGTTTGTTTTGTTTGTCATTTTTGTTTGAATACTTTTTTAATTAAAAAAAAAAAAAAAAAAGAAAAAAGAAAAGAAAAGAAAGAAAGAAAGGATAAAAAGCGCTGAGCACGAACCAGTGTAGAAGACATAACTTGTGGTCTTGCATGACAACAATTCTGCTTTCTGAGCCGAATGTACAACCGCTGTGCAATCACTGACCATGGCGGCAAAATTAAAGGGAACTGAAAAGAAGCGGAGAGAAAACACGATGGGCAGAGAGAAGCAAACATCCATAATGGCCAATGAAAGTCTCCTTAAATCCAGAACAGCTGCTTCAGTGTTAGCAGAGAACCTGCAACTGGATGTGAATACCATTGGCAGAGTAATTAGTTTACTCGATAGTGACAACACAGTACCATTCATAGCTCGATATCGCAAAGAAGAAACAGGAGGACTGGATCCTACAATACTGAGGCAAATAAAAGCGCAGTATGAACTGTCTAAGTAAGTGAATATCTTAATTTAGCTTTTTTGTTTGCGTTTTGGCTTCACCATACAAGAGTAGTCACACAGCAGTCTTGCATAATTCCACGTGGTGCAGAACGTCTCGAAGGGCTGGGGAGTGGGAAGTGAGAGGAAAGGGTGGGGGATTGGGTAAACCCCTACCTATGAAGAGTGCAGTAGTTTTTGATCAGGGCATGGTATGCTGCAAGCTTTATTAACCCTCCACGCCTAAACATAAGTATGAACATATTCTCCACAGTGTTCCCAATGCACTGCTTAGGATGCTGACAAGTGTCAACAAGAATACTTTTTTTTAAAATAAAGAACTTTTTAGTCATTGATCATGTTCTTAATCCTCATGACCTTATTGTGAGGCATGATCCTGCTGAAAGTTTGACCTAAATGTAAATCTGGGATGTCAGCCCATCAATTTCTGCTTTTGGTTTAGTCATGTCAGTTGTTCAACTTCTTGCACAAGCTTTTAATTTTAACACCAGGTGACTGGATCAAATTAATTTGCAGATCCATCAGGGAGCATGCTAAGTCAGTTATGAAGAAGATCGGTAACAAACTTACACCAGACATCAAGAGGTCTCTTGACAATGCTGTTACCATGGAAGAAGTGGATGAAGTGGTAATTAAACTTGACCACATAAGTTATCAAAACTTTACAATGAGCCAGCATTTTTGTGTTGTTAGTTAACCCTTTAACTCTGGTGACTGACCACAACAGAATTTCTCCCTACTATATCTCTACAATATCATGTAGACAAGTGATGAGAATCAAGAAAAATATCAATTGTGGAATTACTAATTGATCCACTATCAAATTCTCCAAACTAACATAATTAGAATTGTTTGGCAGACAGTAAGGAGAATTACTAATGAGATCTTTGGAGTTAAAGGGTTAACTCTTTAAGATATGATTGTTTATTCTCCCCTCTAGCTCCTTATTGTTAACACATTTCCATGTAAATTAGTCACAAGATTCTTGTGTTAAATCCCGATAGGAACCTGCTGATGAGTTTGAGTACTCTCATTACCTGTTTGTGGGATAATGTGTGATGTTATAGGGAGAATTCAAATGTAAATCATGTCTGGGAGTGCAGGGTAAAGAGAGAAGGGACAGAGACCACTTAATATTCAAAGGCATAGAGGACTTTGTGCAGACAGGCAAAAGAGAATGGGAGTGGTTACAATACAGAAATTTTAGTCCATTCTAAGGTTCAGTAACCTTTGTGATTTATTTCAATGGATCAAAAGGTACATCCATTCAGTGTACAATCTGGAATGATTTCTTATCTTGTTATTCAGTGAGAAGCTACAATTTTGCTGCTGAAAATACTAAGATCGAATTATTAATCAAGGCTTCATATTAGACATAACTATCCATTGTCAAACTTTAGGCTGCACATTTTCTTATATGGGAACAGGGGTATAATGGATGACATGCTATTGTTGCTAATATAAAGTAAAAGATAAGAAAGTGGTTCATTGACCTATCATATAGTACATCGCTTGATACAGAGTGCTTCACCATAAAAGGATGTAGGATATTTTAATTTTGAACTCATTTCTTTTAATTTTATTTATTATAATTGCTCATGTAATTGGGGAACTGCGCATACTCTGTTTTTCTGCCATTTTTTACTTTAATCACTTCACCTGAGGTGATTGTAGCAGGGGCGCTAAATTTTAAAATGGATGCCCCTTGTTTTGTCACTGTTTCAGAGGAAGTGATATATGCAAAATAAGAAATTTCAACTGGGAAGAGCACAAGTTTGGCAGAGTGCTTTTCAAAAGAAAGATATGAAGTTTTTTGTTGATTGAATTAAATAAATCTGCTAAGAACTGAGGATTTCTTAGGCACTGGCTTTTGCATGTCACAGGACATATATTCATTTACCAATGGGGAGGTCCATATGGGAACAAAACTGTCCTGAGGTCTTGAGTATGGTTCTAAGGCTGAAGACTGAGGGTTGTATTTAAGACCAGGGGCACACTTTTCTACCATATGGACCAACCCAGACGGCAGAGTAAGTTATTATTAATTTTTTTCAGTTGATTCGCTTTTTTCTATGAGTGAAAGATAAAAAAATTCTGGAACATGGTCTGTACTGTAAAAATTGGACCTTTTACAAGTGTGCCATCAGCCAATCAGATTCAAGTACTTGACTTTTGTGGCCAGTTGAAATGCTTCAGGAAAAACAAATTAAACTTATTATTTTGTGTCTTTATTTCCTCCAATTGGCTAGTATGCACCATATAAGCAAAGTCAGAAGGGAACACATGCTGAGAGATCACGTCAGCTGGGCCTTGGTGAACCTGCTGAGCTCTTGCTGAAGAATCCTGAGGCTGTTCGGCTTGAAAAACTAGTTAAACCAAGTGTAAAAGGTACAGAGAAACCATTCCTTTATTTGCTTTGCCTACAATTTATATAGACGTAGCATGAGGAGCAGGGATGGTGCAAAGGTGAGATTGCTTGGCTTTCATTGCTGATTCTCACGCCTTGTATCCCTTGTGGGTTTTGTTTGTTGTGTTACTTTTTGTCCTTTCCCAGAGTGTCCTTCTGAGGCTACCCCAGTTCTCCTCCTTCCACCAAAACCTACTTTCTAAATTCAAATTCAACTTCGAAACAGTGGATTAGTAGAACCAACCAGTGGAATAACCACTGCTAAATTCCCATAACCATTGATGCAATTAGTTCCCTGAGTGAACATGGATGTGGTTATATGCAGCAAGTAATGATAAGAGAGAGTGATTAGGAAAAGTGTTAGGTCAGTCCTTCAGGCTCATTTTAATTTAGATCATACTAAAATTGATTCCTGGACCACCTTTTTCGTTTATGACTCTTGGTGTTCTAGTTCCATCTTATTGTCTTGTATATTGAGTTGACAACTGAAAGTGACCAATGAAGTTTTCCCTGATGGTTTTTGTTTTGTTTGCTCATTGGCAATTAAAATTGAGAATGATTATTCAGTGCCAGGTTAGTGGCTGAAACACTCAAGTCACTGGCTCACTAATTGAATTTAATGATTGGTATATTAAAACAAAATGTTTGCAGGAATCAGAACTGTGAGTGAGGTATCCCTTGGCCTTCAGTATATTTTAGCAGATGTCATTGCCAAAGACAGTGCAACTTTAAACTCCATTAACGCATTGTAAGTCTCAAATAATTCTGTTTATGATTTTTATAAGTCAAGGGAAGTACTTGACACCAAGCATATCAAGTTGTGATTAGGCATCAACTCCAATCTGTACAAATTTGCCAATGAGAGCAGAGAAAAGTATCACAGTGAACTTGTAGGGACTCAAAATAAAACTTAAAGTTTTAGTCTCAACCGATCAGATTCAAAACCAATTGCGACTTTGTCACACGCGTTTTCCCGCGCTTTGAGCTGTCAGTTTAGTGTTGTTTTAATTCTCATTCGTTCGTTGTGATACTTTCCTTGCGTCTATGGTTTTTTTTTTACGACACTCAATCGAGAAGTGCTCAATTCTTGTATCTGATCGGTCAGTAGGGTGGTGCTAGTTTTCAATCACAAAGTCAAGTACAAGGTAATCAATAAAATCCTAGATTACTATCCGTATTTAATAGGAGATTGCTATAGGAGGACTTATTACTTGTTTTAATCATGTTTGATAGGTTGGAGAATAACCCAGTTCGTGTGGAAGCATCCTTGCGTCGTTCAGGCAAAAATAGAGAAAAATACAAAAAGTTCGATGGTTTTCGTAAGGCAGCGACTTCACTTAAGGCTCATCAAGTAATATGTTTTTCTTTATCATGCCTTAATATTGACAAACAACTAACAATCTTTGCTACTTTTAAAAAAGAACTAAGTTTTCATGAATGGCGTGGTGATCTTATGAAAAACAAAAACAATTGAAATGATGGATAAAGATTCTACCCTCTTCTTTCCCCTCTCGTTACCTTTCTCGCAATTGCACCTACTTTTTCTTATGGAGTTTCATACTTAGCTTTTTCATGGATGGAAATCACTTTCCTCTGGTACAATGCAGCAACTGTGGCAAAGTCAGCACGGCACAATTTGGCGTTATGTTAAGTTAAGGCTGGCTTTCTCAGGCGATGGAGTCTGCGTCGTATTCGAAGTCGTAAGAGCGCGTCCGATTCAGTGAAAACTCGAAAATCGGAGTTGTAAGCAGAGTCATAAGCTCGATGGAATCAGGGTCGAAAGAATCAGAATCGTGTAATTTGTTTCCCCTTCCGTTTATGACTCCGACGCTTTTAAGGAGAACCAACCAATCACAATAACATTTTTGTGGCCTTTCGCTTTCGACTCAGTCAATACAGTTTGCACTAGAGAGTAGGCAACGGGGTCGTATGCGGCATCCAAATTTTTGGGTTTGATTTCACTCTATCGTATTACCGTGCTCTTCTGATTGACTCCGACTCCGTCCTTAGCGAAAACTAGCCATTAAGTGTGTTTTATGTCTCACGTTTTGTTCCGCCTCTTTCTATAGGTGCTCGCTTTAAATAGAGGAGAACAGAACAAGATTCTCAACGTTAAACGTGAGATTCCCAAAAATGTCGAGTCAGAATTTCGTACTGCTCTTCTGGAAAAGTGGATGCCCTCCAATGCATCTGGTGCAGTATATCAATTTTTGTAAAATGGCTTAAAAAAAAATCTTAAAATTAGATATGTAGAGAATAATACATAGGCACACGTAGATATGCAATTTCTCTTCGAGTCTTCAACTCGATGGCTCACTCGAACTCGAGAAGAAAAACTACACGTCTATAAGCAAACATATATTTTTGTTTGGCTATTCTATAAACACAACAGCCCTTTACTGACAAAAAAAGTCGAATGAATGTAAAAAAGGATCCACGATCTCCTGATTCAAGCGGCGCTTAGGCTCAAGATGAAAAAAATGCGTTTAATTTTTACAAAAACAAACAATGGGCATAACTTTCAATTGACAAAATTCTCAGTTGTTGACTTTTTTCTTACCGATAGATCTAATCTTTTCAGGTAAGGTAGGCAAATCTTTCAGCTATCGATTTTCCTTCTCAGCCGCGAGAAATGCGATTACCAAAGCCACTGAGTGCGCAACTTTCGGTTTTTTTCTCTTCCTTATTTTGTTTTCCTGGGAATTTTAAATGTCATGTCTGTAAGTCATACGAATTTTCAATGAGTTAGCAGCCATAATCTAAGAAAATTCGACAAACAACCTTGGATTGAGTATGATGAGGGCTTCGCCGTTAATTCATCAACACGACAGAGTGGCGCGAAAGGCGAGTGACGTGTCAGTAGCTGATTGATGATATCAATCATGTGAAAAGTTATATATTTTTGGAGTCTGTTCTGACGGCTTTTCTCAGGGGTGGAAATCCTCGTATAACTCTACATGTTTTAAAGACGTCAAAATGCGTCATAGACACTATATTTTATTTGTTTCATTTCATTTTTGAACTGTCATTTTAAAGTTGTTTAATTTCGAATCATTAGTAAGGTTCTGGATATTTTCAATAGTTGCGCTTCATAGAATCTCAAGAATAAACATTAAAATTGTTATTTCATTTTATAATGTACTGTTTTAATGATTTATCAGCGCAGATAAAGAAATTATCCAAAAGTGCGGTGCTTGATGCTTACAAAAGACTCATCCAACCAAAGATCATCAGGCAAACCAGGTGATGCTACACAGTATACTGCTACACTGTATACTGCTACACAGGTAATTTAGTGTTAACAACTGGGTTGAAAACGTAAATTAGCCACCGTAAAGGGTAAAAAAGCTGACGTTTCGAGCGTTAGCCCTTCGTCAGAGCGATTAGAGGAATTGTGGGTTGTGTGTGGATTTATATGCAGAAAGTGGGGCTACGCCATTGGTGGGAATATGGTGACGAGAAAACAGGAATAAATTAGTTAGTAGTAATCTGTAGTACCTAAAATCCACAAACCTAACAACCCAGGTCGACCCATCGTCGGGAACCTAGCTCTGAAATACTACTCCGTCTGGCCGAACTAGTACTCACACTCAATTGCTTTTCATTCGGTGGTAACTACTACAAACAAACTAATGGCGTGGCCATGAGTACTAAAATGGGACCCAGCTACGCCAATCTTTTTGTAGGTTTTATCGAACATCAATTTTTTAGCCAATACCACGGCCCAAAACCTGAACTCTACGGCCGCTACATTGACGATTGCATCGGCGCTACCTCCTCTACCAAAGAGGACCTCACTCAATTTATAACCGCCGTCAATTCCTTTCATCCGGCTCTCTAATATACCTGGAAAAATTTCCGACACTTCTTTGGCATTTCTAGACATCAAAATTTCAATTGAAGGCAACGGCTTATGTACTAGTGTTTACTACAAACCTACAGATTCGCATAGTTACTTGTTGTATTCATCCTCACATCCATTACACGTCAAGAACTCCATACCTTTTTTTCACAGTTTCTCAGACTTCGTCGTTTACGTAGTGACGACTCTGATTTTTCCGAAAAATCAGAGGCAATGTGCCAGTTTTTCGATAAACGTGGCTATCCTGTTTCTGTCGTTCAAGCGGGCTACCACCGTGCCCAACAAATCGATCGACAGGCAGCACTACAAACGGCCGAGAAGGAAAACACTGACCGCATTCCATTTACTCTTACATTTCACCCTCACAACCACGCAGTTAAATCTATCATTCTTAAAAATTTTAAATTACTCCAAAACGATTCAGAGACTGGCACTATCTTTTCGCAACCCCCACTTATTTCATTCAAACGTGACAAAAACATAGGCAACTTTTTAGTCAGGAGCTCATTTCAAACCAATGACCAATCTGGAACTTTTAAATGCGCTCGCTCGCTCACGATGCAAAACTTGTCCTTTCATTCACAACGTAGAGAAAATATCGGGACCTAAAAGATCCATTAAGATCATTGATCACTTTACGTGTACCTCCGCCAATGTTATTTACTGCATAACTTGCACTTATTGCAATAAGTTATACATCGGCGAAACAGGAAGACGACTGGGTGACCGATTCCGAGAACACCTTCGCGATGTGGAAAGAAATGACAAGGACGCATCCAAACCAGTCGCTAGACACTTTAATCTTCTTAATCATTCTAAACAGCATATGGCAGTTTGCGGCCTTTCCTTACATCTAGGCAGTTCGGAAAGCCGTAAAACACTAGAACAAAAATTTATATTCCAAATCGGCACCCTTAATCCCCACGGAATCAACGAGCGCTTTTCATTCAACTAATTTATTCCTGTTTCTCGTTACCATATTCCCACCAATGGTGTAGCCCCACTTTCTGCATATAAATCCACACACAACCCACAATTCCTCTAATCGCTCTGACGAAGGGCTAACGCTCGAAACGTCAGCTTTTTTACCCTTTACGGTGGCTAATTTACGTTTTCAACCCAGTTGTTAACACTAAATTACCTGCTATACTATCCCACCGACGCAGCAACACAGTTTCTTTAGAAACTTACCCCTTTATACTGCTACACAGTTTACTGCCTGTTTGAGTTTGGTATGATAATCAAGATTCCTAGTACCAGTGATAGCTTTTAGTGCGAAACAAGTATGATGAGTGTCGAATTTAATTCATGTAAAACGTTGGCGTTGTTTGCTTCCTTTACTAATTGGTTCAGAAACTGTTAACAACACTCTCAACCAATCAGGTGCATTATAATATTACATGAAAAGTAATTGTGGTTAGGTCACGTGTTCCACGTTTGAGGAAGTTTGTTTCTTTACAATGTGAATTATCATAAGTCTAATAAGGTATTTTCCTCCCCAAAGATGTGGAATATGATGATTTGAATTTTAATTTAAATTTGACTGTTTTTTTTTTCATTATTTCCTTGGAAGAGTATCATTAACAAAACGGGCTGAAAAGGAGAGTGTCGATATATTTGTGATGAACTTGTATCGTCTCCTCCTTACCCCACCATTGAAAGGAAAGAATGTTATAAGTCTAGACCCAGGCTTCTCCCATGGATGCAAGTTAGCGGTTCTTGGTTCTACAGGTGAATAACAGACAAACGTAAAGACAAACTAGCAAATAAACAGACAATCAAGCTAACAAAACAACAAGATGACAAAAAATACACAAACCTCGACAAACAGTAGTTATGAAGCACGAAGAAAATATGTACAATTTCTCTTTTTAGTATAATGCACAATTTGAATCGATCTCCATGGAGTCCTAATCCTCTCAAAATCAATATGTTAATCAACAGGGAAGTGATGCAAAAAAAAAAATCGTAATAAGTCTTAGCTGGGTGGTCTTATATAGACTGACCACCAAACTCCCTCCAATGCGCTGTGTATTGTTTAACATCCGGACAGAAGAATCTCACGATGATAAGGCAGAGTACACTTGTTCTTTTGGTCCTAATACAGAAAAAAATGTCTTTTCTTTTGTTCAACAAGTTGATTTGTGACGCAAATTAAATGCCTTTTTTAAATTTCTCACTGCAGGCGAGGTTTTAGGGACAGGTGTGATCTTTCTTTTTGGGGAGAACAAAAACCAAGCGCAAGCAAAGGAAACTGTGATAGACCTTGTTCTAAAGCACGGGTTAGTTTTTTTTTTTGTCTGTAGTTTCTATTACAATTTCATTTTACCTCGGGTCTCTAACTTCTATAAGTGACCAACACAGAATCTCCTCTTACAATATCAAGCAAGTAAGTGATGAGATTATTAATTAAGGAATTACCAGTTGATCTAATACCTAGTTTTCTGAAGTTGTATTTTATCTTTAGATTTGTATGGTAAACAATAAGGGAAATTACTGGTGAGATCTGAGAGTGAAAGGGTTGAGTGAATGGGAGGAAAAGCATACCTCACTGGTTTGTGTGGGTTTATTTCTCGTATCTTTGCTTGGGAATTATTTCAGTTAGCGTCACGTGACCAATGAGAATAATTTTGGAGAAACGTGGCCGATTGGATATTTTTAAGCCTACTTGCAGTCACTCTTACGAACATGTCTTTATTTTCAGTTGTGACTATATAGCCATTGGGAATGGCGTTGGATGCCGAGAAACTGAAAAGTTTATTAGTAAACTCATCGAAAAAGGAGCATTTGCACCTCGTGACGTTGCTTACTGGTAAGTACCACGAATAAATATCACCCACCTTGAGAGATAAAAAAAACAAATGAACCGACTTCCCTTGCAGGATGACCAAGTACATGTAAATAAAAATGCTTCAAAATCGGAACGTTTTTGCGAGAGCTCTTCTTTAACGGAGTTATGCAGCGTTCTTACGTCCTATTGTAATGTTAACCCTTTAACTCCCATGAGTGACCAAGACAGAATTTCTCCTTACAACATCAATACAATATCAACCAGATTAGTGATGAGAATAAAGAATAATATCAATTTGGAGATAATTAGTTCATCCAATACTAAATTGTCTGGACTAAGATTATTAAAATTTTATGGTTGACATTAAGGAGAGTTGCAAATTTGATCTGGGAGCTAAAGGGTTAAGTAGGTTTTTAGTTGATACAATAAATGTTACAAACTGCATGTACGATTTTACGTACTTAATGATAATATGTTTCAGTATCGTCAGCGAAGATGGAGCCTCTATTTACAGTGCGTCTCCCGAGGCAGAGGCCGAGCTGCCAAGCCTCGATATAACCCTGAGGGGTGCTGGTAAGTATCTCCCCTTCTCAATTTCTCAAACCTTTACCCAGAACTATCTTTGGCTTTGGAAACTAAACAAGGTTTATCGAGAAAAGTCCATGCCAATTTTAATATTTAGAATTATAAAACTTGTAGATAATTAAGGGATACTTTAGTTGGTCTCATCTGGCCAGCTAATCATGTCACGCCAAAAGCACCATCCATTTGCTTGATATATGCAGGCGTGTGGATATGATGATCGTGTTGTAATCCTTTTTCATTGTAATTATCCATGTTGATTTTTTAGTTTCAATTGGGCGGAGACTGCAAGATCCTCTCGCAGAATTAATAAAGATTGAGCCCAAGCATCTGGGTATTGGAATGTATCAGGTAAGAGAAAAACGTCCAAGGTACGATGGAATCCTGTTTACTTAAATCCAATTTAGATTCGGCCTCATTCTGTCGTTGTTGTTGTTGTTGTTGTTATTGTGTTTTTTTGGTGTTTCGGCTGCTGTTTATCTTCTGATGTTGGTTTGCTGCAGCATGACATCCCCGAGAAGTTGTTACGAGAGGCCTTGGACGGAGTGATAGAGGACTGTGTCAGCTTTGTAGGAGTTGACTTGAACGTGGCAGGAGTCTCCATGTTAAGGTATTTTGTTTGGTGTGCTAAAAATTTTAGCCATAAATGAAAGATAACGACTCTTTTTCCTCTTAAGGCGCATAGCTGGTTTAAATGAAAAGAAAGCGAAGGCTATTTTGGCATGGCGCGAGGAGAATGGTGCCTTCGTAAACCGTGAGCAGTTGAAGGAAGTGAAAGGAATTGGAGCCAAAACGTACGAGCAATGTGTAGGCTTTGTCAGGATAATGAATACTCCACCACCCCAGCGCAACTCTACGAAAACATCCGCCATTGGTCAAGAAACGGTTATTACAAGTCCTGACGGAGGAGAGAAGACGAAGATCGGTGGTAAGAAGAGGAAGCGTGAAAGCAGCGAAGAACAAGGATTGAGGAAGAAACGGATGAAAACTATTGTGAGTCAAAACTTTCATCCCGAGCCGTTGGATATGACCTGGATTCACCCTGAATCTTATCCAGTGGCGAGAAGGTAAATTGCACGTGACAAAATTGCATAAAGACGTATCAAACTAGCTTTAGAACAGGCATAATTAGTTTAAGCGCTGCGAGTCAGGGTAGATTAAAAGAATGCAACTACCGATCGTTATCCGTCGAAATCGCTCAAATTTGCAGAATTATTTCTCACTGCTGAGAAAAAAGGGAAAAAAAAGAGCCGTTATGTTCCTCATCCTATGGTGATGTTTTGAAAGTCCAATCTTCAAGTGCTTCCTAGTATACACATGCTACACATTTTAAGTACACAGGCTTTGCGTGACGTAGGAAGCAGAAACAAAAGCAGTTATCTGTTACAGCTTACTTTCGGTGAGAAGAAGATGGTCAGCTATTGGCGTGCGTTGCTATAGCAGATTATTGATGATGAAACTTGTTTGGTTGTTTCGCTATTTAGCGTTATGAAGATGTTGGGTATTCTACCAGAGCAGATTGGTAAACCGGAAGTTAAAACAGCGATTGACAAATTTCTGCAAACTCACAGTAAGTTAGGACCTCCAAGGTCTCCCTTCCGTGATTGATGATATGAGTAATAATTCCCTTAATTAGATACCATGTGTTCTTACACTGCTGGGTTGGAGAATTGCTTGTGTAACATACAGGCAAGAAAGTAAAAGTCCCGGTATTTTAAGAAAAAAAATACATTCAGGGAAAAATTCCCCGGTAGAGGCAGTGTCCAGAGTGAAAAATTCCTCCATTTTGGAATTCCCCCTTGTTTTTTTTTTCAAGATGAGTGTTTGTTGCTTTGGTTATCTTAATCAATTCTGTCATTGGTGGATTTAGCTGGGTGGACTTATTGTGATTGTCTGCTTTAACTGTCCATTACAGATGTCTGATTACAGCCCACTGTCCGACTCAGTGTCCGATTACAACTCTATAGAATAATTAGTGGAAAATAAAGCAGCTGATGCATCATCACATTTGAGGAAATTGTAACGGTTATGATATGTTCAGAAATTGTACCTCTGGGGTTTTAAATCTTTGTATAAGTCTGAGTATTTTTTGCTACTGATTTTGTTTTGTTACGTAGAAATTGATAAATTGGCGGCCAAGAACAACGTGGGTATTGCAACATTGCAGCATATTTTGGATGGTCTCAGACAGCCAACAGATCACGACATAAGAGTCAGTAAGTAAAACGACTAATTCGAATGAAACAATACTCCTTTCACAGCAGAAGGATGAAAATATAATTGAAAGGTAACACAAATCTTTGATGGTACAAAGTAATCAGATTGGCCACTTACAAGGGTGCTTGTGTAACCAGAGCAAACAGGCATATTCACAAATGAGCAAAGAAGAAAAGAAATAGCATCCTCTCACTCTCTAAGAATAGAAATATGTAAAGAGCGGAGAGTGAAATGAGTTAATGATCTCAGATAGTTTTCTTTTTAACCATGAAACTTCCGTGAGTGACCAATATCTCCTTACAATATCAAGCATCAAGTGGCGATATGATACACTATCAAGCATCAAGTGATGCCCCGAATGATCCCACAACTGTGGTATCATCCAAGCCATGCTATATATGTGTGCTCTGTTTTGTTGCTGAGCACGCACGAAGTGGAGAAACGGAGAAACTCGAGACGTAGTCGAGTGTTTCTCCCCACTTCTTGAGTGCTCTAGCCGCTTCCTAAGTACTTTTCAACAGAACAGAGCACTGTCAAGGCTTCTCTATTTGTTTTACAATAAAGAATCTGTTAAATTTCCTACGTATTACTTTCAATTTTCGAAACAAACTTTATTTCCAAAGCGAACAACAGTGTCGTCAGCATTCTCTATACTCTCATAAAGCACGCTACAATAAGCCAATCAGAAACCATGATAGACTGGCTCAAATAATCTGATTGCCTATACAAGATTAAGGCTGTCAAAAATGTCAAACCATCGAAGTTCAATAACCATCAAAGTTCATATTTTGCAATAGTTTACAAAGTTAAATAGTTCGGCAGGTGGAAGTTAACACTTTTGCCTGAAGTCTTTTAGTCTCGAATACAGAATCTGTAAATGAAATATTCAGTGAAATCCAGCCGAATGGTGGCTCATAAAAACACGCCATTTTTTTCACTTGACAATTAGAAAACAAACTGTTCAAGCGTGTGTTCTATGAATGAACGACAGCCGAATTTAACGGAACATGAAAATTGCTCAGGATAACAGCGCAGTGACTGATGTGGCCTTCCACTAATCACATCGGAAAGGATATCAAAGCAAGCTCTTGGTTTTTCTCTCGAAGGGCGGCTAAGGCTTACTTGATGACCGGAGATCGCCATGATGAGCTAGCCGCGTTGTATCTCGGCATGACAACGTCATGATTAGTATGAGTTTTAACAGCTATACCAGTTTGGCTGTATTTTGCATCATTCCTGTTTTGCTCTGTTTTGTTTTTGAATACGCAACTTTATATACTACACGAGTGTGAGCTGTGTTTGATTTTTATTACCGTACGTAAACTTGCAGTCTAACTCAGTGTGAAAACCTTCAGAACTCGGACTGTCCATTTATTTTACTCTTTGAGGATTTTTGTCTCTACTCACGTTATAATACCTTTATTATAATATAATTTAGGGGATTATTGGTTGATTCAATACCGAACACTCCGAAGTAATATCATACAAATTGCATTGGAAATTGTGGAGATAATTATTAGTGAGATCTTGGTAGTGAAAGGGTTAGAGAAAGGCAGGGACCTCATATATGTAAAAACAAAATAGGATTTTTGCATGAAAATATCGGTAAAAATACCTTGCAGACTTTAAAATAACTCTGTATCTGTAGAGGTTGAGGCACAGTGATAATTTGAACCTGAGGTTTGTTTTGAGGCACGATTAACTATAGACTTAATGCTCAAGAATAGTTTCCCTTTGCCTCTTCTCTGTTTAGATTTCCAGAAACCTTTGTTCAAAAAGAACATCACCTCACTGAAAGACATTCAGCCGGGCTCTCAGCTTCGCGGTCGCGTCACGAATATGATTTCATTCGGTGCATTCGTAGACTGTGGTGTTGGCCACGATGGTTTGCTACACAAGAACGACATGGGACAGTATGAAGGAAAAGTTGGCCTTGGAGATATAGTTGAAGTCACTGTTGAAAGTGTTGATAAAATAAAACAAGAAATTCGTCTGGTTCTAAAGGAAATTTCCTCGAGTTTCAATCCAGAGTTGCTCGTTTCAATGGGAAATTTATCTTAGGGTTACATGCTTTGCGGATTTTCTTTATAACATTTTTAGTGACAAACATATTAACATGTTTTGTTTATGCTTCTTTGTAAGTGCGGTGCTTTCAATGTACAATCACTATCGGTCTTACATTTAACTTAGATGAACTTGAACTCCCAGTCAATCTTTAGCGGCCCCTTGGTCTCTAGTAGTCTTATGAGAGAAAAGAATTGTTTAAAAAAAAAAAGAAAAGAAAAGAAAACGAGAAAGATGAAATCCCACTCGAATCGAATCGGATGCACAATGAATTGTTTATCTGTTTTGTTAAAAGGGAAAATCCTACATAATGATGCTGGAGGCATTAAAAAAGAGTAATTAAACTATATTTTCTCTATAACTTGTCTCTAATAATTGTCTTCCACCTTGCGCTATCAAAAACATTAGTTTCAGCACAACATGTGACATTAATGATGGCAATATACTTCGGCCACGTGTATCTTAAACCTTAAATTATTTTCTTAGGAATCAAGTTAAGACACTACTTATTCGTTTTGCACAAAGGAAAAAGGAGAGAAAATATCAGAATTCCCACAGGCATTTGGAGACTATTTTATCATAAGCCCCTACAACCATAGTTGGGCAACTATTCCTCTAAAAAATTAATAAAGGGGTAAGTTTCTAAAGAAACTGTGATGCTGCGTCGGTCTATCTATCGATAGAATCACTCTGACGAAGGGCTAACGCTCGAAACGTCAGCTTTTTTACCCTTTACGGTGGCTAATTTACGTTTTCAACCCAGTTGTTAACACTAATTACCTGCTATTCCTCTAAAAAAAGTCAACCTTTCAATGCTAAGCCGGCTAACAGAGGAGGCCAAAACTTTTCATTAAATGTTCGTTTTACGTTGCTGTCAATCATGCTTTGAGTTTGTCGAGGCCAAAATGCCCCTCGCTGGATGTGCCCCCAAAAAATCGTGTAACGTGTTCGCCTCCACTTCACCAGATTTTTAGCATACCCTAACACTGGATTAAATCGTACAACATACAATGAAACCACTGATGAACTTAACTTTTTTTTTTCCTTTCATGGCCTTCCATTCAAAACCTTACTAAATGAAGAAATGAAACTGTTCATTCCAATTAGCCCCCTGATTGAGCGTAGTAGGAGATAAAGGCGTGGAATTTCTTTTATATGTAATGTAGAGAAGTTTACGAGTTTGCGAAGCAAAGAACAAATGATATTTTACCTAAAGTTTTCCTGTTGAGCTGTCATAAAAAAAAAAAAAAACAGGGCAGGGCAGGGCAGCACACCAACCGACAGAAAACTTTTAAGTACATGAAAGTTTACTTTGACTTCACTTATTCGATTCTTTTAGCTTTACATAGTTTTCAACAAAATTGATGGTGCATACACAAACAACAACAACAACAAATAGAAACATTCGGAAATTACGTGAATCCGAAACCAGATAAGTGTCACTACCCTTCTGAGCAGACGGTACTGTGCATCACAGAACAAAGGAATGGCAAAATAAAACAAATGCGAAGACAAAACTGATACAAAGTCATTCGCAGATGAAGTTCATTTACAATCTTAAACGTGTTCTACGTCAACATTACTGCGTAGTACGAACTGTCCATGGGGAGCCTTTGATTCCTCTCAGCACTTACTCTTCCCATTGCATTAATATTTATGTATCATCATTAATAAGAACAAAGCTCTATGTAGGGATATTTAAAGTAAAGTTTCAACCTTTCTTCATTCTACAGATCAGAACCGAGAGGGACACGACATGCCATGAGATCTTAAAGCTATGCGACAGAACTTAGCACTCGAGACATTATTTCCATGGATACGTTTTCCGCCTGTTGCTTGGATTTTTTTTGTGTAAAATTTGCAGCATTCGTTGTATTTTGTTATGGCTAATTTTTTTGGCCGACATACGGCTATGGGTTAAACCCCAATGTGTCCTTCTTACTGCGAAGTACCTGAACGAATTACTTATGATTATTCCTCCCAGAATAACATGAACAATACTTATACCACTGCCTACTACTGAAAGCTTAATTCGCTTTATATGTTTCTTTCCAACTTGAAACCATGGTGACTGACTGACTTAAAAAAAAAAAAAGAAGAAGAAGAAGAAGAAGAAACGAAAAGCCAAAACAAACAAACTAAAAACATCGAGAAAAGTAATGATGCCCCTATCTACCCCTATAAGCTACTTTGCGTGGATTGAGATGAAAAATAATATTGAAAAAATGTCTTAGAATTTTTTTGCATCTTCTCAGAGTGCTACACAGCAAAAGCCACAAATAGAATTTTTTTTCGGTCCCCAAGTTGTTTGATTCTTACAGACTAGTTCTTAATTAGCAAAACTATGACTTATGCAAGGAAGGACACATCCAAAGCAACTTTTGCATACTTGCCCATTTCCAGAATATCTAGGTTTATATGTAAGGTTGTGTGATCTCTTTGTGTCGTTGCATACCGCATCAGCACTGCAGTTATGTGTTCCTATTTCACACTCGTCGAAGGTTAATTAGGCAAACTCAAAACTGATCCTTTTTGCGCTTGCTAGCATTCGCTTTTGAATTATTGACTTAATAGTAGAGAACACAACAGCCCCTGTAGCTCTAAATTTACCATGCAATATTACATTGCACCACATGTGCAGGTCCATCCGTCCCCAGAATATTCAGGTTTACATTCCTAGATGTGCAAACCCTTGGCATTATTACCTTGCATTGTTATAATGTCAGCAGCTTTTGTTTTCATAAAATTGTATTGATAATATAGAATACCAGTATATGTCTTCAGATTCAACATGCAACACCCCACATGTTCAGGTTCATCTGCACCCAGAATATTTTCTAGTTTACATGTACTTGTTCATTTCTACATTTGATTCCCCAAAATTTCTGCTATCAGCATCAGCACCGCAGCTCTGCAGGTCTTTGTAAACTCATCAATATTAGAATAAGCATTATTTCATCTTGAATAAATTCTGTACCACTGATCTTGCTCTAATAAATTATCCTAATCGTATCAAGTGGGACAATCTCTGTGGCCCCACATTTAATTCGCAATATCTCATTGCATTACCTTTGCAGGTCCATCCATCTTCAGAGTATCCAGGTTTGCATTCACAGTTGTGCGATCCCTTTGTATATTGTTCCAAACAGGAACGGGACTACAGTTAGGCTCTTCTGCAGCACTTTCGTTAATGTCTAAAATAACATAATTATTTGATGTTATAATATCGGTGACATTTGTTTTCAGAACATTAAATCGCTAATATATAACACAACAATCTATGTGCTAATATTTAGCGTTCTTGTAGACATTGTACTGATAATTTGCAATAAAACAATCCCTCTAGCCCCATATTTAATAAGCGATATATATTGCATTACCTTTGCATTCCCATCCGTCCCATGAAAATTCTGGTTTACATTTACAGCGGCACGATCCTTTGGTATTGCTGCTCTTCTGTAGCACATCCGTCAATATCTGAAGTTACATCATGCTGATTTTAATTACCATTGAAAAAATTTAGATATTGCAATAGTTTTGTAAAGTAAAAGGAGAAGTTTTGCACATATCCTCTCGTGTCATTTTTATTTTGTTATAGGCTGAGAGCAGATTAATCGAATAAATCATCCAGTACAAAACCATTTTTTTATAGTTACACGATACTTTGGCATCAGCGTCGGAACTGCAGTTGTACTTCTCTGTAACATATTGGTCGGTAAAATATTGGTCAGTAAAAAAGAAAGAAGATCTGAAAAAAAAATGTCGCAAGGCATGCTATTCAGAGAATAATATCGTGCAGCAGTATCCAGCTTTCTTTGCCAATAGCCTAGACCAGGATTGAAACGTAAAAGCATACTTGTCAAATAGTGGATGATTACACTTCTTGAGCGCAATGCAACAAGGTCCAATAATAACAAAAACCAATTCACTCACATCCTTGGTTTTGTCTTGTTGAAGATTTTACGATCTAGTTTATCTTAACTTACGCAATAATTGATTCTTGACGTCATCAATTCGGATCATGTGATTTATCAGGCGTTGACCATCAGATACTTTAGCGGTCTCAAATTCCAAAAAGCAACAACTGTCCGAGTGAAAATGAGATTTACTTATCATTTTGGGACACTTTTTTTTCAAATGACTAATCTTAATCTATAAATATTGGGGTAGATAAGGTTGATATTAGCTGAATCCCAAAAATGGAGACAAAGACATACAATATTAATAATTTGAGTGGTAGATTTGAAACAAGTAGTGGTTTGACCTTCGGTAGATATCGCGGTTAAACTTTTGAATCAGATTATAAGCAATCGGCGCTCCCCCCGTAAACCGTACCCAGGCTTGCAGAATTTTTGGTACGAAGATCTACCAGTTGTTAACGGACAACGCATTGACAGGTAAGTTGTCATTAAAGTCATATGCGTTAAATGTTCTGCATACTTTCAGAGATAGAGATGTTAAAAGGGTTGTGTCTGAACAGAAAAATGAAAAAAAAGCCATTTTTGTAGGTGCAGTAATGGGATTAAGACATCTGTCATTCCTTTCATGGGCGAGATAGTGAAGAAGAAAAAAATGTATTTTACACTGCTGTTACTCATAATATAGTTTTGTGAATCCAAACTATTGTTAGCTTCAGTTTGTACTTGTAGAGATTCTTTTTCAGATACCCCGATAACGGAATCACGTAAAGAGAGTGGGAGGCAAGGAATTAGTTTACGTCAATATTTTGAGGGGGAGTTACGCGTGAAATTTCACAATAAATGCTCGCTACTAAACCGACACTGGACCGCGTATTCGCATCGCCTTTTTGATTACAATGCTTAAACATATAATAATAACACTTAAAAAAAGGTGGGTTGGCTTTAAGGTAAGGTAAATGCTACTAACCTTCTGAAAAGACCGCGGCATTGAGCACCACTGACGTAAAAGAACAGCGAAATAATATGAAAGCATAGGGTATGCGTGATGAAAAAAAATCATTCGCAGATGTTAACTGAAGTTGTGGAGATGGAGAACCTACGCAGTAAATGTAATACCCAGAAATGGAAATTGCATCAAAATTGACTTTTAAGTTGCTTTATAAATTCACAATAGTTCCAAATGTCTTCCTCTGGAGGCATCAATTCTTAACAAGAAGTTAATGACAGTTTATATTAACCTTGTCCTAGAATCATTTGGAACAAATCATTTTTAATATCCCCTGTCTGTTATGGACATTTTTCAGCCTCGTGCAATTGAAGTTTTAAAATTCGAAATTTATTGAAATGGATAAAATATTGTGCAATTTTTTTTCTAATAGTTGCTAAAGTTATTCTAACTGGTAGAGTTTTTTTTTCCAGCGGACTGGCGTTAACTAACTTGCTGGTTAACTTGTTCAGGAATTCTTTTATAGAACAAGAATCTGAACTTTAAAGAAATAAAGCATTACACTTACATTACATACGAAAAAACCATGAAAAACACAAAAGGTGAAAAGAGAGAAACTATCCTTCGTTTCCCTGCAATTTGTAACCACATGAAGGGATTTGCTAAATCGATGATAACCTTGGTAATTTATAGGTAAACACCAGATGATTAATGATTTGTGACCATAAGTTCCAAAATGGTAAGTGTACTTAGAGACTGTTAAAGGTCTTATGGTGATCCAAGGTTTCCTCTCGTCAAGGCAGTGAAAGAATTAGGTAAATAGGTATCACTTATCATTTAAGTCATTTACCATTATATAAAACATGTCAAAAGCATTAAACGCTTATGCAGGCAGTGTGCGCGCTCTGATTGCGTTGCATCATGGTCTTAAAAGAAAAAAGTAAGTGATTTCCATTATGTCGTGATGGAGCGAACGTCTATATATGGTGGCCGCGAGAATAGCGTAAATAGACAAATAATGTAATGGGGATTCACTGACTATTGCCGTTCCTTCGAAAATAATAAAGTGTTGAAGGGCCTGCACAACTCTTGCCATTCCTCCGTCACGAATTCGTTCTTAGAGGGCAAATGAAGAGATACAGAAAGAATCGAAACTGTAGTATTGCCTGAGAATCTATGCACATTCCTAGACGGGATTTTTAAATCAAGGAATCGACCCTTACATACCCAACGCATTACAGAGAAAGCCTTTCTGCTATAAAAACTTTTTTTGAGTCATTCACTAGGCGTAGATATAGGATTCGTGACAGGAGAATAGTTACGCCTCCTATATATATGCTGTTTCACTATCTTTTCATGTTTTTGTTTTTTGTTTTGTTTTTCTGTTTGTCTGATTTTTTTTTTGCTCTGTTTTGTTTTGTTAGTTTATCTTCCTTTTCCTATTACTTTCCTCTGATTTATTTGCTGATCTTATGAACGTAAGTTTCACCACGAAACGGTGTGTTTTCCCCTTAAACAAATGATTTCTTTATGTTTGATCTGTGTAATTTTCTCGTGCTCCTGAGTTCGATCACCAGTCTCTTGCATTTTAATTAAAATAGTTCAGTCTGTTACTATGTTCAATTCTTCCTGGTTCTTTCGATCGCTTTCGTTTTCTTGACCCATTTAAAACTATACGATTTCATTTTACTCAATTAAAAAAAAAAACATGCAGAACTTTTCTTTTGTGATATCTTTTTACCGAGTTGTATGGGATACATTATCACTACACAAGATCTGCATCGAAAGATCGCGTGTTTATGGTAAATATGATTTAACATTCAATTCGCATTGTGTTTTAAATTCAAATTATGAACTAGTTCAATTGTGGCTCTGGTCATAAGTTATAATCAATATGTGTAAATGTTACTTTATCACGATTCTCTAATTTCCTTTTTGTTCATCTCTTGAATATTACTTTACGCAAATGCAAGTGTTATATTAGTGCGTGTTATATTCTGTATAATCGATAAAATGTTCTTGATTGCCAATGTGTTTGTTGATGTTGACTAAGGTGTTGATGTTGTTGATCATCGTATGCACTTTTTTCTCGTTACTGGACCAATATGTATCCCATGGCTTTGATGTGTACCTCTCTAGCATCAATTCCACACGTGTTGTTGTCATCACGCGGCCCTCCTGTTCCGAACCCGATTCTGGAATCAACATCCCCGCATCCGTTATTGTTATTGGCAAGAATACCAATCCTTGCTTTGCAAGCTCTATTCTTCCAATAAGCTCCCTCCGGTTCAAGATTAAACCCTTCCTTGTTACAGTAACGGTGTAAGTAACCCTGTGAACCAATCAGTGACTTCCATTTCTCAGGACCCAAAAAGGTGGAGCGGTGTTGCCCATCAGCGATCAGCCAGTACAGGGAATCGGCTGACTTGTTTATGACAATAAACCTGAGATCTCCGTCAATCTTCATACAGAGACAGATCTTGGAGAATGATGTGTTCCAATAGGTCGGTAACTTGGTCTCCACTGTGTCAAACCCAGTCTCTCCTCCAGCAAGATTGTATTCTATCTTGTTGCTCCAAAAATCAGAATCAAAATGAAAAGTTCGCTGATTGGGAATAAAAATAGACAATAAAAATCAAATATGTCAGTCAATCCCAGCGAGTAACCCGCACCAAAAATTAAAAGCCGATTTGAACTAAATTACAACACAACAATTACATGTTTAACTGAGATTGGGTGAGATTACAACGAAAGTCAAATTTTGAACTCGAAACTTTTATCGTAAGTTTCTTAAGATGCTCGTACCATACCATAGATCTTTTAGAAATCAATTAATGCTATCATAAGTAATAAGAAAAATCAAAAGATTATTTGATAAATTGAAAAAAAAATACCTTCTTGCCATCAATCTTCATAACAGGGGTCCAAGATCCCACTCCACATCCAAAATCCCCCACGTGACAGAAAATGGAAGTAAATATCGAATCAATATGAAGTGTAACCACGCCACTCTTGCTGAATCTATTAAATAAGATTAAGGTAGATATAAATGTCAAACTCTGGAACCTACTAGGTATGTGAAATTTCATCTGAGTTTTCAGTTGGAAAGACTGAATATTAACAAACAAATCGGAATCAGCTTGGGTAAATTAACTTCGTATATTAACTTGTTATCTAGAAAAGCCCTTTTGCTCTGAGATCAAGTAGAAACAATCTTATCCTAGTTTCAAACTTACAATTTTCTGTTGTGAGCTTCCTTGCAGTCTGAATTCACTGAAAATAGGAACATAACAAACAAAGTAATAACAACAACAAAATCAGAACCACAAAATAACTGTCACATTGTTACGACGTTTGCGACATCAAAAGGAAGTAGTCACACATTAACTTAGACGTATAAGGGGTGGTGACCCTCCCTATCCTGTTTTTGTTTTTGTCTTTTTTAAAGTTATCAAGGGGATTTTAGCAGGGCTAACAGGACAACTGTCCACTTCAGCACCTTTTGTTTATCTTGGAGACATATTTGTTGCAAACTTGATGAAAATAGGATAATTGAAGCGTTACTTAAATTTATCAGTAACTCCTTGCTGGTTTAATTAAGAATACATGAACCAATACAACAAGGACACAACTAAAGTCACCTTTGCATATCTGCCCATTTCCAGAATATCCAGGTTTACATTTGCAGTTGTGCGATCCTTTTGTGTTGTTGCATACCGCATAAGTACTGCAGTTATGTGTTCTTGTAACACACTCGTCGAAATCTAAATACGAAAATCATCGATCGATCCTTTTAACATCGTATAAAAAACTTTCCTCTCAAAATATTGCTCGTCTAAACAAAATACGAGCATCCATGTGGCTCTACTCGTTATACCATATTGCACAGCACTACCTGTGCAGGTCAATCCGTCCCCAAAATATCCAGGTTTACATTTACAGTTGTGCAATCCCTTTGTATTGTTGCACACCGCATCAACACTGCGGCTGTGTGTTCTTGTAGCACACTCGTCGATATCTAAATATGTAAATAATTAAGACCTTGCACTGTAATGATGTCAGTAGCATTTTTTTTCGTTACATTGAATCGATAATATAGAATACCAGTATGTGTCTCCAAATTCAACATGCAACATTTCATTGAAATACTCGTTGAGGTTAATCTGTCCCCATAATATTTTTTAGTCTACATGTACTTGTACATTTGTACATTTGGTTCCCCGAAATTTTTGCTATAAGCATCAGCACCACAGCCGTGCAGGTCTTTGCAAAATCATCAATATCAGAATACGCATATCATTACTTCATCTTGAATAGATCCTGTACCATTAATTTTGCTCTCTTAGCATAGTATTAATAGTATAGAGTGGGACAATCTCTGTGGCCCCACAAAAACATCATTCTTTGATCTGTTATAATATCGGTAACATTTGTTTTCATGACATTGCACTGCTAATATACAATAAAACAAACTGTGTGCTCTACATTTCACTTAGAGGTCCATCTCTACCCTCAGTATTATTGCAAATAGCAGCAGCACTGTAGCTGTGCTCTTTAGTAGAGCATTTCTCAATATTTAAATATGCATATCATAACTTGATCTTTTATGATGTCAATTGCATTTATTTGCATAACGTGACATTGATAATTTAGAATGCAACAATTCATGTGTTTTGCAACATTGCATCAACGATATTGAATATTTTTGCCTCTGAATTTAACCTTCCATATTCCATGGCATTACCAGTGCAGGTCCTTCCGTCCCCAGAATATCCAGGTTTGCATGTGCAGTTGTACGATCCCTTGATATTGATGCACTCCGCATCAGCACTGCAGCTGTGTGTTCCTGTGGCACACTCGTCAATATCTAAGTATGCACATTATTTATTTACTTGTTAAAATGTCAGTTGCATTTTTATAACATAGCATTGATACCATAGAATATAGCAATCGATCTCGGCCTACATTTTCACCTGTAAGACATTATTTCATTACCTGTGCAGGTCCCTTCGTGTCCTGAATATCCAGGTTTACATTCACAGTTGTGCGATCCTTGGGTGTTGACACAGACAGCGTCAGCGCTGCATTTACGTGTTCCTTATGCACACTCGTCAACATCTGAATGAGCATTGATTTCATACATAATGAGATTTACTTAGTGAAATATTATCGTTCGTGTCTCTGATTGGACGAAAGATATATTTCACAGTCGTGCGCTCCCAGCCTTTGAGATGTGTCGGTCTGTAAGAAAATTCTCAGTATGTATAAAACGAAAACATTATACCATGGAAAGTGCTCGAATGGCTTTCATTCACTTGTCGCGATGCATCAGAAAACTCACTAGTTCGCTTCGCTCACTCGTTGTTTTGCTCTTTTGTTTTTTTGTTTTGTTGTTTTTTTGATACTTTACAACTCGTAAATGAAAATCGTTCCTGCGCGTATTCTATAGAATAATCTTTATATCATCAATCGATCCTTTATAAAGTCTGAAAATAGACCTCCAGTAATCTATGTAACGCTATATTAGACATGCAATATTTTACTGTATTACCTTTGCAGGTCCATCCGTCCCCATGATATCCAGGTTTGCATTTGCAGTTATATGACCCATTGGTATTGTTGCACACAGCATCAACACTGCAGCTGGGTTCTTCTGTAGCACATTCGTCAATATCTAAATACGCTTATCGTTAATTGATTGTTTATAATTCTGGTAACATTTAGCGTTCTTGAAGAGAGTGCACTGATGAATTGCAAAACAACAATCTCTCTAGCCCTATATTTAATCTGCGATGTTTCATTGCATTACCTCTGCATGCCCATCCGTCCCCTGAAAATCCAGGTTTACACACACAGCTGTACGATCCTTCGGTATTGTTGCACACAGCATCAACGCTGCAGCTGTGCTCTTCAGTATCACATTCGTCAATATCTGAAGATACATAACATTGATCAAAACAATTTAAGTATTATAATAGTTATGGAAAGCAAAAGGAAAAGCTTTGCACATATCTCCTCACGTTAATAACTATTTTGTTATAAGCAGAGAGCAGATTAATGGAATAGATCAGTTGATTCTCTCTTGGAAGAAAAACGCGATCCATCCCTGAAATTCTGAACGCCTTTATTCGCGAGCCATATTCTCTTTAGAAAGAAACACTTTTACCTTTGCAAGTCCGTCCATCACCAGAATATCCAGGTTTACATGTATAATTGTTCGATACTTTGGTATTGCTGCAAACAGCATCGGAACTGCAGTTGTGCTTTTCTGTAGCATATTGGTCACTGTCTGAAAATAGATCATATTGGTTTCTATCATAAATGAAGCTACCTTTTATTTAGCACGAATTTCGAATGTGCTTAAAGTTTCATAGATAGTAAATTTAAAGCTCAGATAATGGCAATACCTTCATCACAAGTCTGACCCTTGAAACCAGCAGTACACCAACATCGATAACCTTTTTCGGTAAAACCACTTTGGCAAGTAGCGTTGTTCTTGCAAGGATTTGCTAAACAGGTATTCTAAATCAAATGAAAAAAATGACATCTTAAAAAAATGTCGCAAGGGATGCTATCCAAAGATTCATATCTAGCAACAATATCCAGTTTTTCACCCGATAGCCTAGACCAAGATTGAAACGTAAAAACATACATGTTACCGTAAACCCTAAATTCTTATGTAGCGGACGATTATTTTTGTGAATCAAGCAACTGTGAAGTGAAACATTCCTTGAATACAATGTATAAAGGTCCAATAATAATAAAACCAATTAACTCAAATCCTTGGTTCTGTCTTGTTGAAGACCTGTTTACTATCTAGTTAAGTAATTAAAAAGACTGTAATTGACACTTGCCTCTGCTCCTCGGTAGAAATAATTGTAATCCCGAACTAAGTCGTCTTCGTTTTCTTCGTGAGTGACATCATTCAACTCACATTTATGCGTTCCATTGTTCCCATTCGGTTGTTTTTCGAAATTATAACTGACACAGTTTGGCTCCTTAAAACATCGTATCTTACACAATACTCTATCCTTGATGTCATCAATTCGAATCACGTGGTTTATCAGGCGTTGACCGTCAAATACTTTAGCGGGCTTGAATTCCAGAGAGCGGCAAAAATCTGGGTCAAATTGATATTTACTTATTACATTGTGACACCTTTTTCAATAACTAAACCTAATCTGTAAACATTGCAGAAGATAAATTTTATTTTCACTGAGTCACAACGCGAGAAAAAGATATGAATTATTAAAAATTTGACAATTAACTTTGTAATTAAGCTGAGCACAGAAAACATAAAGTATAGTTGTTTGGCGCTCAATAAATCTCAAGATGAAACTTTAGGCTTTATTTTTAACATTGAACCCAGACCTGCGGATTTCGGGGTCCGATCATTCGCTAATGGGCAATGTTCAACTGAAAATGAATTGACAAGTCAGGGTGTTACTGATGCGCCGAACGCGCTACATAATGTCAAGAGGCGGCAACGTTGAAAGGGTCGTATGCGAAAAGAGAAGAATAAAGCCGGTAGATTTTAAGCGCAATGACTGAATTAAGACATTTGTTAACTATAAAACTGCGAGAGAGTAACGAAGAATTTATTAAGCTCCCCGCACATATTGAACGGCAATTTTTTCCACAGATCCGTAAGCCATTTAGCGTTACAAGGCATTCTTTATTTTTTCCGGAAGGAAAAATATAATGGAAGCTAAAACTTATTGTGAGATGTGCGTTTTACCCCTTTTTTTTTTTTTGACAAGCTTGAATCTACTGGGGTCTAAACTAAATTTAGTTTGAACTTATTCTTGATGATAAATTTTTTCACAAGCCACATTACTGGATTTACGTAATCGAAACGAAACGAAACGAAACCAGATTTTACGCTAACCAGAAATAAAGCTAAAAAATTGTTTCACGTCGTTTTTTTTAGGGCACTTACACGGAAAATGTATACCAGGCAACCGTCAACAAATACGAAAAACTGTCTTTGGAAAATTTCATTCAGTCCACTGGAGAAATTTCAAAAAATATTCCTAATGCTAGCCGCTAAACCGAAACTTACAGTGGATCGTGTATTCGTATTGCGTTTTATATTCGTGTGAACTTAGGGTTAGATAAATGTTAGTAACCTTCTGAGAAGACGGCATCGTGCATTACAGAACAGAGGAACGCCGAAATAACACAGGTCCAAGGGGATCGCATGAACAACAACATTATTCGTAGATCTTATCTAAAGTTATAGAAACTGAGAGCTCTACAACTTAAATGCAACAGTCTGATTTGTAGATTGGATCAATATTCACTAACACATGTTTCTTTGGCTATCTCAAATTCAAGATGCCTTTCTCTTGAGGTATTAATTCTTAACAAGGGCTTATTTTATAAGGTTTACAATAACTTTTACTTAAATGGACTTAGAGCAATTTATCTTGGTTAACTGTTATGCAAATTTTTAACACTCATTTCAATTAAAATTTAGTTCGAAGTTAAATGAAAACCATAAGATATTGTTTACACGGCAATTGATTAAGTTATTCCTATTGTTAACTCAATTTCATTTAAATTGAATGGCGATACCTTGCTGGTTAACTTTGTAAGGATTCTCTCACAGAAAAGAAGCAATTTTGGGTCAAATACACCATCTGCGCTAAGAATGTTGTTGTTAGTGGGTCAGTAGAAAAACATGAAATGCTGCCCATCACCTAGACCGTTGAAATACTAACAAACAGACAAACAAACAAATAAACAGACAAAAACAAGATTCAGTAAAATCAGCGAGAATGTAGAACTTTGCTTATACCAAGGAAGTGTCTTAAGGGAAATAAAATTTAGAAAAACAGTGTTACGAATGAAGAATTAGAATTAGAAAAGAATGGAGGAGAGGTACGGAAAGAAAGTAACATTTCACTGGCAATCCGAAGCTATTGAATGAATTGACCATAACTTTTAAAACGAACAGTGCATGTAATTTCAAATATTTCTCAGATTTCCCACTAAAAGATAAAATTTCTATATATTTAGTTTTGTTATGAAACTCCTTCGTCTCTTGCGTGGACCATGAATTTAAATTTATCCAATTATTTATTTCTATTTTACTTTTTTTCTTCAGTGGGGCAAACTTTTGTGCGGCGCGAAGCTGCGATCTAAAGTCTTGACAATTATAGTATGCTCCAAGGCTCTTTCCCTAATTTGATTTGAGATTAATATGATCCATGCCCTTTCCCTTCACGACCGGCTTATGGACAGAGAAAGAAAAACCGAGCATAATAGAAGAATGCTGAGAGGAAGGATACTGAATAGTGTCTCTCGTAGCCATGAAATAGTTGACAGCTTCCTCACACGTACTTTAAGTTCTCAAAGTGATGAGCAGCACATTTCTCCTCACAGTATCAGCACATCATTACTAGTAAAAAGCATAAGAATCAAGAAACAGATTGCCAAATCTTACTTACGGCAATCTTCAACAAGCCCTCGCAACTGTTGCTCCAAGAAGCGATTAGAGACCAGTTAGGATAGTTTATTTAATCGCTTTTCGGAGCTCAGAGGGTTAAAAGATAAAGTTTGATTGCATCTGTGATACAAAATATGCTAGAAAAAGAATTTCCATCACTAGAGGCATTATCATATCTTACGAGAAGGAAAGAATCAGTGTCAGTTCTAATATTTTGTTATGGGGTCTTTCACCAACCATATGAACAGATACCCCAGTCAGTATCACTGAACACAGAACCAGAAATAAAAAGACCCAAACGAAAGACACGGCTACAGAATTATTCTCCTTCAGAATATAAGAAATATCTCCACGTTTGCTCCTTCAGAATATTTCCTTCAGGAGTATGGGTGTCTTGAATTCGTTAGGCAACTCATTGTTGTTGCTGGTTCTGCACGTTTTACGGAGAAACAATCATTTCATTTGCTTTTACCAGCGACTAATGCGATCTCCGCACACAAAAAATGATGCAAGCCAGTAGCATCTTGTTGTGACTGAAAAAAGCAGCTTAAGTATATGAAAGCCCTTCCAGCCCTCTACATTGTTTTGCATACAGTTACATTCAAGAGACCTCTTTTACAGAAGATCAGTAAACAAAACACAATTTTACTACCTCATGAAAGAACTTAATTTGCATACGAGTGTTGTTGAACACATTTTTATTGCAAGGATAACCCCCTGTTTGTGTGAATTTAATTGGAACCTGTTCGACTATTTTGGGAGTATTTTTAATCAGTCACTGAGCCCTGGGGAAAAAATGCATCGCATCAATAAAGGTGATTCCCAAAACAAGGAAAAATCCATTTCACGTTTAAATTGTGCAAGAACAACTAAAAATTGTCTACATCTTAAGGGAGTGCATCCCCTTGAGTACCTAAAAGCATAGAATATTTGAAAGGATTTGAAAATTTGCCTTTCCCAAGTTGTTGGATTCTTACAGAGACCAGTTCATAATTTTAATTTTGATTAATGATCGAATTTCATCAATTATTATTACTCATGAAGGAGAGACAGACTCCAATTGACAAGTGATAACCATTTAAAAGGGTCCAACATTTTAAATATATGGCGCCTTTGGGTTAAATAAATCCTACTTACTTTCTGAGAAGACAACTTTTAGCATCACGAGACAGATGAACGCGAAAACAACACAGACGCGAACGGAGTGCATAACACCAATTTATTAGTAGATTCTGTCTAAAGTTGTAGAAACTGCGACCTATACATGATACGTGTAACACTCTAATACATGACACATGATACGTGTAACACCACTGAGTGTTTTTCAGCCAACGCAAGTTCCAAAAGTTTTCTTCTAGGGGGCTTTAATTCTTAACCGTAGAGCTTGATGTAGAAAAACTGATGAGAATCAGGTGCTAAGAGCATTTAGAGCAAAATAGTTTGAACATGCTATGTGTGTTACGCAAATTTTAATCGTTGTACATTTTTCTACAATTGAAATTTAGTTCAAAGATAATTGAAAACGACGTGATATTGTTTATTCATACTGTTGATGCTATGTTTTGTTTAAGCAGATCGACGCCACTTTCTGTTTAACTTTATGAGGAATTCTTGAATACGAGTAAAATCTGAGGTTCGATAAAATCAAATTCTATAACCAATACACTTTTTTTCCTGACAATATTCATGTATCATCTGAAATTACAATTAAAAAGGCAAAGGAAGTTTTTTCTTTGTGAATTTTGCCGAAACATTACAAAAAATTGCTTCTAAGATAAAAGATGAGTGGAATTCTGTCTCATCGAGAAGCCAGAGCCACAACGAGGGTGTAAAAATGTTATAAAAGGGAAGCTCATCAACCTGTTAAAATATAAGCATTCTCGTGTCTCTCTATAGTAGTCAGATGTATTGATTAGCCCGTAATTCGAAAGGAGTCGACTCCGCTCGCCCCATTGTTGTTCGAAAGCTTTCTCGCCATTTCTCGACGCTAAATGAAGCAAATTATCTTTCTCCGGTAGCTCGGGACTGTTATGAAAGTACAGTTTCATTATCTTATATTAGCGTCTAAATCGATCGAAATATTAACTTGTAAAGTTGTTAGAAGATATATACGTGTTTGTGGATTGCTGTTGTAATAAGCCAAATTATACTTTACATGTTTATGTATTGCCACACTTCAATTGACTCAATGGATATGAATATTAGACCAAATTACTATCTTTTTTCGCCTAAATTAGCTTTTTCTTTGTTTGTAATAATTGTAATTCAGTTTATGTCTAAAGTAAATCGAAACGTGGAAAATTTGGATGCTTGAGTCAGCTGGACCTCGAAATCAGCGATTGCTGCTACAATTGCTATATCATTGTGTGTTATATTCTGTACAGACTGTTAAGTATTCTTGTGTTCGTAAATGTGACTGTTGTCGTTGAAGATGGTGTTAGTTTTGTTTATTACAGTACTGTATGTTTTCTTTTGTTTGTTTGTTTTTTTCGTTCTTCACTGTACCAAGATGTACCCCATGGCTTTGATGTGTGTGGGGCGACCATCGTTTCCACAGGTGTTGTTGTCATCCTTTGGCCCTCCTGTTCCAAACCCGATTCTGGAATCAACATCCCCGCATCCATTATTGTTATTGGCGAAAATACCAATTCTTGCTTTGCAAGCTCTATTTTTCCAATAAGCCCCTTCCGGTTCCAGATTAAACCCTTCTTTGTTACAGAGACGCTGTAAGTAACCCTGTGAACCAATCAATGACTTCCACTTTTCAGGACCCAAGGAGGTGTTGCGGTATTGCCCATCAGCGATCAGTGAGTACAAGGAATCGGCTGGCTTGTTGATGACAATGAACCTGAGAACTTCGTCAATCTTCATACCAAGACAGATCTTGGTGAATGATGTGTTCCAGTAGGTCGGTAACTTGGTTTCCACCGAGTCAAACCCAGTCTCTCCTCCAGGAAGATTATACTCTACCTTGTTGCTCCAATAATTGGAATCATAATGAAAAGTTCGCTGATCGGGAGTAGAGGACAATTATTGTTAAATAGGCAATAAAAGCAAGTAAATTAGTCCCAGTTAGTTAGTTAAATTAGTCCCGACTAGCAAACAGCTTAAACGATAATGTGAGCCGTAACGAACGCAATGATCATTTATTTATGCACTCGAAACTATTATCCTGAGTGTAGGAAAACATTAGCTTAGATACTTAAGAAATACATTTTTGTTACTATAGGTGATGATAGAAATCGACCAATTATTTTAATAAACAGCTATATACCTTGTTGCCATCAATCTTCAAAACAGAGGTCCAAGCTCCATCTCCACATCCAAAATCTCCCACGTGACAGAAAACGAAAGTTGGTATCGAACCAATATGAAACGTAACCACGCCGCTCTCGTTAAATCTGTTGAATAATGTTAAGGCAAATATATTATTTGAACTGAGGGATCCGTCGTTTGAAGTATAGGGAAAATGTATTTCTTATCTTGAACTTACAGTTTTTTGTTGTGAGCTTCTTTGCACATCGAATTCTCTGAAAATAACAATCAAAACAAAATAAAGCACATGATAACTGTCAAACTGTGACGACATTTTTGAAATCAAGAGTCATGAATTAATTTCCACCTTTGCAAATTTTTCCATCTCCTGAGTATCCAGCCCTACATGTACAGTTGTACGATCCCTTGGTATTGTTGCATACAGCATCAGTGCTACAGTCGTGCTTTCCTCTAGCACACTCATCAATGTCTGAAAATACATCATATTTGCTTTTTAAATTACCACTATGGCAGTCAAAATTTGTTATATATTCCGAAAGCAAGGAAGACAAATGTGTTCGTATTTACTCGCACTGGTTATTTTGCTTAAAACCGAAAACATATTTCATGTAAAACTACAAAACTAGTGGCAGAAAAGGATTTTAAGGAATTTCTAAACACACTCAGAATGAAATCAACATTATTTTTCATTGCGAGACAAACAATTTAAGGATGTTTAGAAATTCATAGTTTTGTAGCGTTAAGTCAATAACCAGTCTTTTCTAATCCATAAAGCAATCGTTAGTGCTTTGAAATGTTTATATCGAAGTACTTCACCACGGGAATACACCTTTCTGAGTATTTTTAATTAGTTAATTATGATTTATTAATTAATTAATAGTTAGCAATATTATTGTTGTCATAATAAGTTAAATTTTCTTGTTTATATTCAAACTAAGAAGCCACATTGCACGCATTCTTAGCCGGAGATGCCATTACACCGTATCCTTAAGAATGTCCTCTGGGAAGCATATCGCATTAAGAGAGCTATGCATGGCTTAATTTTTCTAATTTGCTGAGAAACGCAGACATTGAGTGAATAATTATGTAAAGACGAAGCTTAATCTACTCAAACAAGTAATACACATGAGTAAATTGAGCACGAAGTCTGATCCTCGTGTTAATTTCAAAAATAACCCGAATGTACCTGAACACGAGCGTCCGTCTCCTCTGTATCCCTTCTTACAAGAACAATTATAGGAACCATATGTGTTTTGACACTTGGCATTTACGTCACAAGTATGGCCGTCGGTGCTACATTCATCAATATCTGAACGTTCATAGGTAGTTAAAATCACAAAATAAAACAAAACTATTAACACATTGTGCAGATTCAATCTTCTCCATAATATACAATCATATAATCATGACATAGACGGGAATTATTATGATAAGAACGGTGGGAATCATAACAAAATAACAAAATAAAGATGCGCAAAAGCATCACATTCGACATTCCTATCCTGGCAGCGTAGAAGAATTTTCTCGCCATGGACCTAGTTTGACTGCCCAGCCTGCCGCCAGTCTCCTATAGTTCAGTAATAGAGCATCCGAAATAGTGATCAAATGTTTGTAGTTTCCACTTCTATTGTGAGCACCCGCAGATCTTTTTCTCCTAATATGCCTGTGTCTTTTACTGAATAACTACATATTTCAACAAGGAACTTGATAACCAAAGCAAATAGGCAAAAACTTTTCAGAAACTAAAATGTTTGATAACTTCATCTACGATGTTGGAATTCCAACCTACCTTTTTCACAATATTCTCCAGAGAAACCGTTTTCACAGAGGCATTCAAACAATTTGTAATTTCGCTTCGTTCGAAAACAAGTTCCCTCGTTGTAACATGGCGTAGAAGAACAAGGCAGCGTCTATCGGTAAAAAAAAATAATATACTAAGATGATGATTTAAACAAAATGAAATAAACATTTTGTTAATGAAAAGAAAAAAAAAAGAACAAGAAAAAAAGAACGAACGAGATTAATTTTGGCGGTACTTTCTTACTGGGAAGTAGTAGTGATGTGAACTCTCGTTTTGGTAATACTTCTTTGTGCTGTTCTCCTTATCTGAAGAAAGTAACTCACACCACAGCTTTTCTTCAGCGGCCAGGTTTACAGACATACAGAGAGGATGATCGACGCAATTAAAAATGCATTCAAGGTCGTCGTATACCATGAGGACGTCAATTTGAGGCACATCCAGATAATGAAACTTGTCCAATGAAAGTAGACCGTCTCTGGAATTCACTGATTCTGTCGGGTCAAAATAACATATTAAATGTGTTAATGTGTTATGTGTAAAAGAAAAAAGGTATATAGCCTGTATAGCGAACAAACAAAAGCAAACAACTCAACAACTCGCCCACTCACACACACACGCACAAAAAGAGAAAAGCTGGGAAAACCGCCAGAGAGCAATAGAAAAGCAACAGAATAAAGGAATTATTTCATCAACCTATTCCAGCGCTGTTAAACATATTCAAAGCGCAAGCTCTATGAATAAACAAAATAAGGCATTGCTTTAAAACAGTGGCTTCCATGTTCAATAGTATGCTAAGGAATATCCAGCATTCTTTGACCCATACTTTTGAGTTATTGTTATAAGTAATAGCAAAAAGTTTAAAGATAAAGACAAGAAAGCTTTAAATACGTTACTTATTCATTTCAACCTTAAGCATTTCAACCCATCAGCGCCCTCAAAATCAAACTAGTTTTTTTACTTGTTTGGAGGCTATTGAATAGGCTCGACATATTTCCAATTCATTCATTTACTCGTTTTAATGTCATCTTCAACCATGGTGAAACTTTCATGCTCTGGTACGAGGGTACAATCTAGTTGAATAACAATTAAATGCTTTCTTAATAATCATAATACACTCCCGCAATTTTCAGCTCTCTGTATTTATGATTAGTTTGATCTATATCCTTCCCTTATAGGACGGGTTTATGAACCAAAAAATAAAACGAAGGCAATAATGATGCAGTGAATGCAAACACTATGTATTTCCATCTGTCGAGGCATCTTCATATCTTACGAACAGGGAAATAATCAGCGTCACCCTTGATATCATGAGATGAGGACTTTACTTACCTTGTGAACAGACAGCCCCGAGTATCACTGAACAAAGCCCCGCTGAAAAGTAGATCAAGGCGAAGGACATGCCTTAACGTTAATAATAAATATTCACTTCTTTGGAGTTTCAATAAAATTTAGTCTTTTGAATTCTTTAAGCAACTGTTAGCGCTCGTCAGCTCTGTGTTTCAATAAAGAATTTACAATTTTTCGCGTAAACAAAATGATGCAAACCAACAGCGTCCTCTGATAACTGAAAAAAAGCAGCAGAAGGATATTAGAACCCTCAGAACTTTTTATGTTACTCATGCACAGTTCATAAACCTTGCTTCCCGACCGTGAACAAAACGTAGTTTTTCTTTCTGGTGAAAGAACCTACTTTGCATGTGAGTGTTGCTAGCGTAACGAATCAAACACATTGATAATGCAAGGTTAGCCCCCGGAGTGAATCACTGGGTTAGAATTATTTGTTTGTGCGACTTTATTTGAAACCTTATTAAAAAGCAAGAAAAGTATTTTAACCTTACAAAAGATCCCTGGCGTTGTTAACTTGGCTAGAGGAAACTAATCACAATATTGCATGTGTAACTAACCTTGTTCAACAACGTTTAAGAATTTAAAAGCGTTCAGATTAATTATTTTGAACATAGTGTGTCTGTTATGAAAATGCTTATCCCCACGCTTTCTTTAAAACTGGAATTTATTGTTTAGTCAATTCAAACTGTTGAAATAATTCTCACGTAATAGCTAAATGTGTTTTTGAGGGCCCCTGATTATAAATATCGTGAAGCAAGGTGTCATAGAACTTTTTGATAAAATTTTTCAAAAAAAGGTTTTCAAAAGGGTCCTTAAGAAATAATAAAATTAATAACGAAGTTTTGCAACTGTCTCTGGTTTATTTATGGTCTGTGGCTCGTAAGACTGGTATTGCATTTAATTTGTTATTCCCGCGAGTGGTGTCACCTTATCGATGATAGAGAAACCTCTGAAAGTTGATCATACACGCAGCTGACATTTGATAAAAGCAAAAAAATAAGCCTTAATTAATCATATAGATGATTTTTATAATTGCTCAAAGCGATTGGATTTTCACTTATACGCATGCAGAGAATACAACTTTATACTTGAAAGTGAAATTAACCATGAACTTCATAAACTCCATATTTGGCTATCTGAAAACAAGCTCTTATCAATTATTGAAGAGTCAAATTTTGTTATTTGTCACCCAGTTCATAAACAAATTCAAATAGCACAAATTTGTGCTATTTGAATGTAAAATATTAATCATCAGCCCAAGAAACTTCAATTCGATACCCTAGGGTTTATATAGATTCAAATATTAGTTATAAGAGTTACAGCAACAACATTGCCAAAAATAAATTAAGTAATAATCAAAAATGTGGGTATGCTCTCTTGGCTTCGCTTTTTCCTAAACACAAACATCTTATTTAGCCTGTATTATATCTTCATAGATCCATTCTTAAAGTTTTGTTGAATTGCGTGGGGTAATGCCTATGTATCAGTCTACTTTTTTAATTTTATTTTATTTACAGATTTAAGCTCAGGGTTTTTGCTGGATGTTGGGGCACGCGCCAGCGTAACGTTTAGAAAAAAATTTGTTATGCTTTTCAAGGTCACAAAAAACCGTCAAAAGGCGCTAAGCTAGGTTCGGACTATCGTTTGCTGTAGGAAATATCAGCAAAATTGCTTTCGCAATAAGGCTAAGGCTCCACAAAAAAAGGGAGACACACCCAGTGGTAATTCGGCCATGCCTTTGATTTTCTTCATTTTGCTTCCGTGAAATCCCTCGAGATTTTCAAAATTTGATAAATAATTCCTGCCGATCATTTAAAAGCCGGAAAAGTAAGAGATACTAAGGCGGTTTCCTCGCTATTTGCAATTTTGTGTTTTCTTCCTCTATCTCAAATTTGGTCCTATTAATTTTTTTCCCATCAACAGGCAATGGGAAGGACACAAATATGTTTAACGTTTCAGCAAAACTTAGGAAATTCCACCATAGAAAACTCGATAATCTTATTCGAAAGATCCCTAATTTCTTTGTCGCAAAACATTAAGCAATTGAAAAGAACTTTGCCAAGATTGGTATGTGGGCATGCGTAAACTTTCGAATCGCGGACCACAAATGTTCATTCCATTTCATATGTTTTGTTCGGACTTTCGAAGTTATCAATCGTCAACCAAAGTGGCCGTGTCTATGGTTGCTCCGTGCAAGGTAATAAGGTGCATACCTTTATGCTAGTTATTTCGAGGAATCTTTGCAAACATCATAGAATGTTGCACTATGGCAGATACAATTCTCATCGTGATTGTCACTCGGGAGCCGATGAACCTTTTTATTGTTTACAAATCAATTGGATGTTACTCATAGCTAAACAAATCAAAGCTGCCGTTCTTCACTTGTTTTTCGCAGTTTAGGCAAGATTAAACAGGCTTTTTTCCGAGGATGGAAAATATCCTGAAAAGCGTAGATTCCTTACCTGAGATGACCTTGGTGCCTGAGAACACGTTTTGGAGGTGATTCATTTTCTTTGCAACGGTCTTCGTAGTTAAATTTTCGCTTGGCCGACCAAATTTTGTACCCTCTACGCAGTGATTCACTCCGTTGTTTACATTCCTTTCGAGGTCGTCTCGAAGCGACCAAACGCGCCGCGGATGTCGCTTCAGCCTTTTTAAGGTTGAAAACGCCCAGAAATATATAAGGTGTCGTTGCTGGAATTTCCAGAGTCCATATATATTTGTACAAAAAAATGAATAAATAAATGCAAAAAAAAAAAAAAAGCACTCTTTTCCCACCACGCCTCAGCTCTACCCAGGAACTCCAAAATCAACTTTCTGCGCAATGAACGACAACGCATACAGGTGTTCAACACCGACGAAATCGCGGAAACACGACCACGCCTTGGAAAATATCTTACGCACCAACGGCTATCCTGAAAACGTTATGCTCAAAACCAAACGACCCCGCAGACGCCGACATCAACCACAACAACAACAATCCAATAAAGATTGGCTTTAACTTCGAAATCCTATTTATTTCCGACAGATTAGACAGAAAGATCACTAAAATCTTCAGAAAAGAAACATTGACGCCCGAATAACCCATAGAATAACCCTTAGTGTTTTTACACTAAGAAACGCCTTATCCACCAGGAGAAACGAACCACAATGCAAACGCACCAACTGCTCTGTCGCACACAGACAGTTTGCTTTTGCAGAAACACCATCTACAAGATCACATGCGACAGACGCCAGCAATTCTATGTCGGCAGCACCGACCGACACACACACGACCGGGTAAAAGAAAATTTAAACAACAACAAATCATCCGTGTTCAAGCACAAAAACGCGAAAATAAAACTTACATTATCAAGTGAATATTGTAAGAACTAAGAAATAGATCGCCAGTGATTCGATATAGAGACCTTTAACAAACTCTCACAACTGTTGCTCCGGGGAAGAGTGTGGAGACCAACGATGAGAGTTCATTTGATCGCTTTACAGAATTCAGAAGATGAAATTTAATTATATCCCTGATACGATAAAAGAAAGAGTAAGTATTTCCGTCAGTCGAGACCTCTCCATATCTTATGAGTAGAAAAGAATCCGCGGCACTCCTAACATTTAAAATGAGGACTTGGACTAATTAACAAGGATTAACTATGTGAACAGATAGCCTTTTGTCGTCCCAGTAATAAACAGATCAAAACGAAAAAATGGCTGATAGTGCGGAGGATTCGCTCCTTTAGAATTTAAAAAAATGTCGGTGTTCTGACTTTACGCAACTAATGCCTTTGCAACTTGCTTTTACTTGGGTGTTCCACCCTCCGTTGCATAAAAAAATGATGCAAATCAAGAGAGCCTTTTTGATGACTGAAAAAAGCAGCTGAACGATGTTAGAGCCCTGAGGATCCTCTAGGAAGACCACGCATATTTAATAAACCTTGTTTGCAGAAGGTTTTACGTTTTTTGCATGCGAGCTTTGTGTTCTTAGCTAATTAAACACATCGTTGTGGTAAAAAAAGGCCCCGGAATGAAACACTCTGACATATGTTTCTGTTTATGTAACTTAATTGGAAACCTGTTTGGCTATTGTGAGAGTTAACTTGTTTTTCATCAGCGATACAGTCTTAAAAGAAATAAATCCCTATTGTACCAATTAAAGTTTATACCCATAGCATGTGAAATCCGTTTTCACCGTTATATTAAGTTACCAAGAATTTCAGTTTTTTTTATGTACTCAAACCCGCAATACAGGTTCACACTTAAATACGGGAGAAGAAAAATGATTATAAACAGAATTTGATTGAACCCTCTCGAGAAAACTCCCCTGGCGTAGTTAACTTAGCTAATCAAACACAACACTACGAGGTTGACACACTTTGTGCAACATCATCCACGTATCTCTCAGTCTTATATCTACTATCGTATACATGATCTGTTTTCAATAGTCGCACTTTAAAAAGAGTAATTCTTAGAGCCTTAAAAATAGGTGGTAACTGACACAGAAAATTGTTTTTCTTGCTTAAACCGTGCATGAGTATAACAACGTAATCTAATCATATAGCTTATTGACCAAAGTTTTCTTATTACTTGTTTCCACTTTAACCATTCCCCATCTCATTAATGTTAATGATTAAGCAATTGGTCGATGGGACGACCACAGTTGTCACACATTTTGAAAATCTGACGAGGTTATGAAGGAAATCTAGGTAATCTGTAGAGGTATCAACGCGTCCAGGCCGTTGAAGAAGCCAAATTAATGAGCAAAACATGTAAATTGGGGGAAGTCGATTTTGCATGCGCAATTAGCGAACATCGATAGGCTTTTTTTTTTCGTTCAATCATGTTTCAGCTACATGAAACGAAGGAAAAGCATTTGCTTAAAGGGTTGCAACTTTCTTTGTTATTTTCTTTAATAATAGGCTCGACGGTTGTTTCATATCTTTTGCCCTACTATGTTTTTCATTAAAACCTTTCCTTTATTTTTGAGAGGCAATGTATGTATTTACAAAACAACATTTGGATGTGTTAAGACTGCTTTTAATACACTTACTTCTGAAACGTTACCTTCAGTCACTATACCTCTGATCATGAATGTGCGTTTGCGTCCTGAGTTTATATTAGCTACCCTTGCAAAAAGGTACCTTAGCAAAAGTACCTATGATTACTTACACATCCATGCAACATAGCAAATACTTATACCACTGCCCAAACCTTGTCTGATCCAAAGTTGCCGTGTATCGTGGGTTTGAATACTTATACCTCTAAAATACTTCCTAGCGTAAAGGCTAATGCACTCTTCCTCAAAATCCTTACCTTTGAAACGTTTTAATTTCGCGCTCGGGCTGTTCAAGGTTTTATCTATCTTAGCTTAAATCTCGTTCATCTCTTAAAAAAGAATTATCCATGTGATGCTTAATTTATCTAACGGTTCTGAAAGTGCCGTTTTAAAATGATTTGTATGTTTTTTCTGGTGGTGGTATATAATTTTGCTCCTCGGACCTATACTAAGCGTCAGTATATGTACATGGAGAGTTTCGTTATAACAATGATGCCCACCGTAACTGGATTTATCTCTGATTGCTGATTAGGAATAGAAGAGAATCATCTTTGAGTAGACATGAAATACAAGTAATTAAGGGCCCGGACGCGCTGGGCAAAGTTTTGTTTATTTTGCGAAAAAATCAGTCATCAGTTCCCTGAGACAAGTGCGCCCGGTGATTTTTAGATCTACCAAATTTTGTCGAGGCTTACCAAACTTCAAAGAAGCCATCGTCCTGCCTCCGAGCAGGACAAATTTTTGTCAGGCATGAAATCTGATAGATTTGTCAATTTACACGCCATGATTTGAAGGAACACGTCAATCAAGAAAATTTTATCTCTATTTTTAGTCAGAGTATTTCAATCCGAAGCCCACCGAAATTATTTCTTTGGTGTGCGGCAATCAAACGGTGAAGATGGCAGATTCGTACCTCGATATGCTACATAATGATCCTTACTCAGAATAAAACTATTACGGTTCCCAAGTCCATGTTCCAGCTGCATCTCCAGGGCCAAGTACTGTTCAATTTATATCGGCTAAAGTAGTCGACAGCACTTTCTTTTGGAGCCTTATTTTTTTATGTGTCCCATCGACGGCGCCTGCTATGATTGGTAGATCCGAAAATTCTTCGAACGTTGCGATGGAGGCTCTTGTCTCATGTGATTGACACGTGTGATTAACAAATATTTTGCTGTGTCTCAGTGCGCAGAGACAGATTTGGCAGAGACAAATTTTGTCGAGATTTTTGGCAGGACCAGACAAATTCTGCGGTCAGTCCAGTGCGTTCGGACCCTAAGTTGTTCAAAACGTCCAGCCAGTGTCAAAGAAAATCTGAGCCAGCGTAAACTCATTGGAAAGACAGCGGTGTTAAACCGATCATAGATAACGTTTAACACAAACCGATCGAGCATTGATAACCTTTGACATTTTAACGTAAAACAATGAAAGAGAATTCCTGGAGGGGACTATAAATACTATTTTAAGAATCAAGAATTAACAATTCACAATTGAAGTCATATCGCAAACATGAGCCTCATCAATATATAATTGTTTGTAGTCTCAATTGCAGAAGTGTAGAACTTACAGGGAACCGGTGAAGTTTGAGTTGGGGTAAATTACAGCAGACTGGAAATATTTAGTGGCCTAGACTTTTTTTTTAAGCGCTCAAGCCGTGAATTAAATCTTTCGATCTCTTGTTTTCGGCTTAGCTAAACAAAGAAATTGATTTTAAAAAATGACCTTGTTCCCATCAATTTTCATAACAGGGGTCCAAACTCCACCTCCACATCCACTGAAGGTGAGTTTAGGCTGACCTATATCATGGCACAAATACCTTTACAAGTCCGTCCGTCTCCAGAATATCCAGGTTTACATTTGCAGTTAAAAGATCCTTTGGTATTGTTGCAAACAGCATTGGCACTGCACCTATTCTTTTCTGTAGCACATTCGTCAATATCTGTATATTTATATATATATATCTGTATGTATATGGTCGAACCAGTAATCAGTGCTTATCCACGCTTAATGCGGGGTCCACATAATAAGGTGGTTGTATTTAAAAAGACTGAACTTCATTTCATCTCATAATTTGACCACTTGATGTATAACTAATTGCTCAAAAATACTACTGATACTGACATCGGGAGATAAACATGAAGTATATTTTACTTAAGATTTTTATTTTTATGTGAGTTGTTTCGGGTTAAAGAGACCCTTTCATACAGGTGGAAGAATACAAATAGGCCGTTGGAACTCAGTTAAAGCTGACGACCACCACTTTATAGAGAAGAAAACTACAATAAGTATGAGGAAAAAGTCTGAGACCTTTATAACAGACCACTTACCACAGGGTGACCACTTAACACAGTGCCACTCAATACAGCTCTGACTATATTATTGATCTCAATTATAATCGCAGCTGCTGTTGATTTTGCCTGGGCAAAGTTACACTTTAATCTCAAAGACGGTGATTTACGTATCGAGAAAATAATTTACCTTCATCACAGATCTGACCCTTGAATCCAGCAGTACACAAACAGCGATAACCTTTGTCAGTGTAACCGCTGTGACAAGTGGCGTTATTCTTGCAAGGGTTTGTTACACAGATATTCTGACATTAAAGAAAAAAAAAACATATAGAAAGATGCCGACAGGCATATCGTTTAGAAAATCATGCTTTCAATGATATCCAACTTATTTCCATCATATAGTTTTGCCAGCTTTACAACAGGTAGCATGTTATTCTCAAATTCCGATCTACTATTGAATGTGAAGTTGAGAACCTCTTAAGTACACTGCAATGTTTTTAAACAGTTGCAAATGCTCAACGCAAATCCTCACCGCTGTTCTATTGAACATCTGTTTACAAACTTTTAAAGCAGGGTTTAAGTGGCACTTGCCTCTGCTCCTCGGTAAATGTATCTTTGATCCTCGACCAGGTCGTTGCTGTTTCCTACGTGAGTGACATCATTTAACTCACATCTGTGTGTTCCATCATTTCCTTTCGGTTTTATTTCGATATTATAACTGACACAGTTTGGTTCCATGAAACATCGTATCGCACATAACTCTCTATCCTTGACGTCATTAACTTGAATCACATGGTTCACCAGGCGTTGACCGTCTAACATTCTTGAGTTCTTGAATTCCAAATAGCGGCATTTTTCTGGGTCAGAGGGAAATTTCTCTATTGCTTTTTTAATTTTTTTTAAATTGAATAAATCTTATCTTTAAGCATTGAGCTAGAAAAGACATATATTCGCTATCCCAGCGTCAGGAAAAGATATATAGTTTTAGTAACTTGACGAGTAATTTAGTAAAGCGCTTAACGCAAATACTGTTTGTATGATAACTTCAAAATAGATTTCAGTGCATCTGCCGACAGCAAGAACTTAAATTTGTGTTTGAGAGGCTTAACTAATGCAATTGAGGTTATTTTTTTTGTAGACATCAAAGAAAATAAAAAGCTTGCTGCTTAAATGAAACTGGCACTGCACCACGTACTTGCACCGCATTTTCTTTATTTCATCATCTGTCTAAACCATAAGACTACACAAGGTTAAACACTTTTTGAGTTACATTTGATACTAACCTTCTGAGAACGCGGCACTGAACATCAGAGAGCAAAGGAGAGGTAAAATAACACAGATGCGGAGGGAATGCATAAAAAGAAGTAATTTTGAGAACTGCTCCATAATTCTAGATGTAATGGAGTTCTTTACACGTTAAACGCAACGTACTAACGTACTGATAATCGGATCAATACCAATTTGCTGAGTGTTTTACGTCCGAATAAAATATTACTTGTCTTTCTCTCAAATCATCAATTCTTAATGGAGATGGACAATAGAAAACACCGCATGCCTGTTATGAAAAGCTCTATCCCCATATATTTATATATATTTTTCTTCCATTTGAAATTCAAATGTTGAAATAGTTTACATTATAATTGAGAGTGTTGTTATTAATATTCATTCGGATTGGCATCAACTTGCTGCTGACTGATAAACATCTCAAAGTTGGTCATAATACAAGGAGCTGATATTCGATGAGATCAACATCTGTAACTTCTACAAATTCCGATAAAAATTCCAAAATATCATTCAAAATGCCGAATGAGAGGGGTAAAAAGTTACCTCTGGTTAATATGGGGTAACGAGGTCAGGTATTAGAAGCATTCCCTTCCATAAATATTATAAATTCTCATCACTACGTTTGAAGTTTTGTAAAGATGAACAAAAAAACCTAGCCCTATCCGCCTGACGTTAAGAAATTCACTGATTAATAAAAAATATAGTGTGAGAAGAACCCCTTTTAGACTAAAAAAATTGCAGTGTTTCACACAATGTTGTGGTAAATTAATTTATCTTTGGTTATTGCAATGAAAATATTTAAATGGCATCAAGATATTCTCGGCTCCTGAAGAGTTATATTCTGAATATCGTTATAAAAAATTACAAACCTAAGTTATTGTGTGTAACACTCAGTAAGGATAGTTCAGGTGTATGAAATTATCATTTTCATTGTTTTGTTGATGTCAGGAGACTACGGTAGTTTTTCTTGTACATAAAAGTGGTGCCGGTGACAACGTTCATCACCATATGTATGTAGTTTTTCTTTCCCGTTACTGTACCAAGATGTATCCCATAGCTTTGATGCTTCTCTGCCCATTATCTAGTGTATGCCCGGAAGCATGGATTCCACATGTGTTGGTATCATCATGCGGCCCCCCTGTTCCAAATCCGATCCTGGAGTCAACATCACGGCAATTATTTTGGTTGTTAGCGAAAATACCGATTCTTGCTTTAGAAGCTCTACTCTTCCAAAACGCACTTTCCGGTTCAAGATTGAATCCTTCTTTGTTACAGTAACGCTGTAGGGAGCCTTGTGCACCAATCAGCGACTTCCACGTATCACGACCTAATGAAGTGGGGCGGTACTGCCCGTCAGCGATCAGTGAGTACAGAGAGTCAGCCTTCGTGTTGATGAGGATGAACCTGAGCTCTTGGTTGATCTTCATACCGAGACAGATCTTGGAGAAGGAAGTGTTCCAGTAAGTCGGTAATTTGGTCTCCGCTGTGTCAAATCCAGTGTTTCCCGCAGGAAGGTTATATTCTGACTTGTCTCTCCAAAAATCAGAATCGTAATGAAACGTTTGCTGATCACAAGTAAAAGAGAATTATCTTTAAGTAAAAGGTAAGGATAAAGAAACCATGAAGCTACAGCAACCAGTCAGTAGGATCAAAATGAACTCAGTAGAAACTCAATAGTTTTCCTCGTGTCTGATAAGCCGAAAGGGTGATGAGAGTTTTAAATCATTTTAATTTTGAATAACATTTGACACTTGATAAAAATAAATGATCCTTCAGAATTGTATTCTTCTAAAATTTTATATTGCCTTGTGTCCAAATACGTCATTGATAAATTTTTATGTGTGTTTGAACTTTCTTAGAAGCAAATCTTTTTACATTTGAAATGAGTCCTAAATTATCCAAATTATCTTTATCAAAGAAAATAACTCTAAGATTTCCTTTAAAAAAAATCCATAATTTGAAACGAATACTCCATCTTTTGTTTTCTTTTGTCCATGACGTCCAAATTTATCTTTAGTTTGAAAGAGACCACGAAATTAAACATTTTAACACAATGTGGTAAAAATAAATAAATAACAGACCATAGCATCCGACGGACGAAAACCCAGCAAGGAGAAGGCGCTGTTGTGGTTGGGGAGATGTAAACGAAAGGCATATTACGAACATGTTATCTTTAAGGCTTAATTTTTCAAAACTCCAAAATCTGACCCAGTTAGTTTAATAGCTTCTTAACAAAACTTAGGACAGACCTTGTTGCCATCAATCTTCATAACAGGGGTCCATATTCCATTACCACATCCTACATCCCCCACGTGACAGAAAACGGGAGTTGGTTTTGAGTCGATATGGAGCGTAACGATGCCACTCTCGCTCAGTCTATCAAAGATAAACAATTTAAAATATACATGTATATACATATATATATATATTTTTTTGTATATGTATATTTATATACATATATATATATATATGTATAGTAATAGTAATCAGTGGCTAAATCAGTAACACAACAGCTGGAAAAAACTAGAAAAAAATCACCATATTTTTTCTTTTTTTCTTGCCTTAAAATCTTTACCACTCTATGTGAGATGAACTTTGTCGTTTATTTTCAAATGTAGCACTTACATCTGCCTGTCATAGGCTTCCTTGCAGCTTGAAACCGTAACCGCTGCAGTAAAAAAGGATTTGAATTTTTAAACTTTATAAAGTTTAAGAAGTCTCAGTGAAAAATTTAAATTTAAATATTGCATCAGCACCGCAGCTGTACCCTCCTGTCACACATTCGTCAATATCAGGAAATGCAACACATAGACGTTTGATTACAATTATATTGTTTTTAAAGCAACCACTGTTTTCTGTGGCGTTTATATGTACAAATAAATTTCAAAAGTGGGAAGTCCACGTATTTATTGAATAGTTTTACCTTCACCACAAGTCTGACCCTTGTATCCAGCAGTACACAAACAGCGATAACCTTTTTTGGTGAAACCGCTTTGACAAGTTGCGTTGTTTTTGCATGGAGTTTTTTTACAGTTACTCTGACATGAAAATTAAAAATATATATATTTGCAAAATTAATAACAACAAAGAAAAGAACAGCGATGACGGTTGATAGAATAATAATAATAAAAAGAAGAAGAAGAAGAAGAAGAGGAAGAGGAAGAGGAAGAGGAAGAGGAAGAGGAAGAGGAAGAGGAAGAGGAAGAGGAAGAGGAAGAGGAAGAGGAAGAGGAAGAGGAAGAGGAAGAGGAAGAGGAAGAGGAAGAGGAAGAAGAAGATGAAGAAAAAGAAGAAGAAGAAGAAGAAGAGGAAGAGGAAGAGGAAGAAGAAGGAGGGCGAAGACGAAGATACAGAAAAATGAACGATTACAAAACAAACGAAGATCCTTTTACGGTATGAAGATAGTTAATGATATTGGCTTGACAACCGGATTTGAAATTTATTTGATGGGAACATTTCGCGATTTGTTATGTATGTCGCTAAGCAGTACGAAATCCCCAAATGTTTATTAAAAAGGTGCATAAGTGGTAAACAGTTTAAATCAACTAGAGAGGACACAAATTTCACTTGCCTCGGCCCCACTGTAAATGTAACTTTGATCTTCAACCAGGTGGTCTTTGTTTCCTGTGTGATCGTGAGTGACATTATTCAGTTCACAAATATATGTTCCACTTCTTTGGTTTCCAAGATTATAACTGACACAGTTTGGTTCATTGTAACAAAGCAGTTCACACAATTCTCTGTCCTGAACACCATGAACTCGAATCAGATGGTTTCTCAAGCGTTGACCTTCAATAGTATTAGCGGGGTTAAATACCAAATGGCGGCATGATTCTGGGACAGAATGATTTAAAAGAAACAAACAAATAAATCAATATTTCACTTCCAAATACGGTTTATAGCAAACCGAAAGAAATGAATCCTAAGGCTGACAAATATTCGCCTATGACAAGGGATGAAAGATTTATAGAAAGTTGATCATTTATTTGGTTCAGAGCCTGGGATAAAATTTTTTTTAAAAATTTAAAAAAATTTATCAAGAAAACAGAATCCAGTGTGGTTGTGGAACTCAGCATCTTCCAAAAGCAGCAATCTAAAGCATTGTGCGCGCAAAAATTTAAATATAAGAAAGGTTACTATTCTATTACCATTCTATTTTTCAAGTAGGCATGCAGTTAATTACTCTTCTCAGAAGTTTCAGCCTTTAGCATGGAGCTAAATATTCGTCGAGCTGCCGCTGTCAAATATCTTAAACAGAATCACTGAGAAAAGCCTCTGTTTGTGTTATGATACGAAATCATCCAAGACGTTAAAAAAAGTCAAAAAAGATAATAAAACAACCACAAAAACAAAACAGAATGATCCTATTTTGGTAACTGATTCGTTAAACCTAAGACTTTTAACGCCAACTGTGTAAAAGAGAGCTTAAAGGCAGGTAGTTGTATAGTGTTTTTCCCTCGGAGAAGTCATTGAAGAAATTCAGAACACCATCTGATAAAAAGAGAGGAAGATGCATATTTCCAATTCGTAAGAGGAGG